AAAATGACAGGTTTCCGCCTTGTGTCCAAATGTAAAATACCAAGCGACATACAGTTTCCGAGGACCTTTCATGTTTATGTTTATGTTTATGGTTTTGTTTCAAACCACACAATCTTTGCGTCAGCTGGTGGAAGACTACTATAACGGGGTCACCAACGTGGTCAACATTTTGGACGGGTTTGATATCCACATCGTTCCTTCCCTGAACGTCGATGGCTATGTGTACTCGCACACGGATGTAAGTATACGCCGGACGGTATAACAGGGCTCTGTATGAAAATGCCTTCACCCATGTGCAGTGGTCAAAAGGTCGAGTTATCAACCGGCCCATTAAGTGGTGCAGAACCCAGATCGCTTAAATTAAAAGTATACCGTACCAAGTCCAGCAACAAGAATTCTGGTCTGAATCTGGGCAGCGAGCTATTCCAATGAACTGCAATAAAAGCATCCTTTACCATTTGACTTCTGTAAATCATTGTAGTCTGTTATTTTTCACTGGTTTTGTGTCTGGTCTTGTGATGGTCTCGACCATAGAGCTTCAGATAACTAGTCAACTAAGCCCCACGAGGAAGTGCATGCCTAGTCTAGGTGCTAGACGTTATCGTTTGGATGCGCGATAATCCCTGCACACGATCTGCTAGCCGCCTAGCCACGCACGCACGCAGGTACCCACGCACACACGCACGACTTGACTTAGATAACAACGTCTAGGTTATCTCCGAAGGGGGGGGGGAATTAGTGCACGTGCGCGACAAAATGTTTTTCACGCACGCACACACACGCCACGAAACTGTACAATAGCCTGGTAGCTGCCTAGTCACGCTACTGGCTGGAAGTTTCAGACTAGTTTATACACTCTAGCACTGTTGCAATTTTGTGCAAAATAATGCTGGTGGAGCAGCTATAGTAGGCATGGCGGGCGGTGCAGTACATGTACTGTACACGTTTATACGGTGAGGCTCGACTTCGTCGGCAAACCACTAGCATGACGACTAATTTCATCGTTACTGCCACGAGTGTCACCATTCTTTTTTGGCATTCAGGAAATTTACGATTATAGGTGTTGCTTGGAAGATAATGCTCTTCCCAAACCTAGTTGACAGGTTGACGAAAACGTCGTGGCCTCCAACTATCTGACGAAGAGCGGCTATTTGTTGACCTCTCAGTTTTGCTAAACCCAACGTTTTTTGCTGCGAATTTGACAGCCTCATAGAAAGATGACTGTTAAGCCATTTCCATGACTGTAATGTACAATGTAAATGTACATGTACACAATACTGTACCATGCAGTGCTGTGATTCAATATCTGTGTACTGTACGTGCATGTCATGCAGCGCGGTAAGTCCGGGGATCAGACATATGAATATGCAAAGTTTGAATAATTATGCAAGATATACGCGNAAAAATGACAGTTTCCGCCTTGTGTCCAAATGTAAAATACCAAGCGACATATCAGTTTCCGAGGACCTTTCATGTTTATGTTTATGATTTATGGTTTTATTTCAAACCACACAATCTTTGCATCAGCTGGTGGAAGACTACTATAACGGGGTCACCAACGTGGTCAACATTTTGGACGGGTTTGATATCCACATCGTTCCTTCCCTGAACGTCGATGGCTTTGTGTACTCGCACACGGATGTAAGTATACACTGGAAGGTATAACAGGGCTCTGTGTGAAAATACCTTCACCCATGTGCAGTGGTCAAAAAGTTGAGTTATCAACTGGCCCAGTTAACTCTGCATTAAGTGGTGCAGAACCCAGATCGCTCTAGTATACCGTACCAAGTCCAGCAACAGGAATTCTGATCTGAATCTGAATCTGAACTGTAACAAAAGCATTCCTTTACCCTTTGACTTCAGTAAATCATTGTAGTCTGTTATTTTTCACTGGTCTCGTGTCTGGTCTTGTGATGTCTCGACCATAGTGCTTCAGATAACCAGTCAACTAAGCCCCACGAGGAAGTGCATGCCTAGTCTAGGTGCTAGAAGTTGTTATCGTTTGGATGCGCGATAATCCCTACACACGATCCGCTAACCGCCTAGCCACGCACGCACGCACGCAGGTACGCACGTACACACGCACGACTTGACTTCGTCGATAACAATGTCTAGGTTATCTCCGAAGGGGGGGGGGAACTAGTGCACGTGCGCGACAAAATGTTTTTCAAGCACGCGCACACACGCCACGAAATTGTACAATAGCCTGGTAGCTGCCTAGTTACGCTACTGGCTGGTAGTTTCAGACTAGTTTATACACTCTAGCACTGTTGCAATTTTGGGCAAAATAATGCTGGTGGAACAGCTTGTAGGCGCGGCGGGCGGTGCAGTGCATATGTACCACATATGTTTATACGGTGAGGCTCGACTTCGTCGGCAAACCACTAGCATGACGACTGACTTCATCGTTACTGCCACGAGTGTCACCATTCTTTTTTGGCATTCAGGAAATCTACGATTATAGGTGTTACTTGGAAGATAATGCTCTTCCCAAACCCAGTTGTCGTGGCCTCCAACTATCTGACGAAGAGCGGCTATTTGTTGATCTCTCAGTTTTGCCAAACCCAGCGTTTTTTGCTGTGAATTTGACAGCCTCATAGAAAGATGACTGTTCGGCCATTTCCATGACTGTAATGTACAATGTTCATGTACACAATACTGTACCATGCAGTGCTGTGATTCAATATCTGCGTACTGCAGGCTACGTGCATGTCATGCAGCGCGGTAAGTCCGGAGATCAGACATATGAATATGCAAAGTTTGAATAATTATGTACGGGCATTATGATGTACGCACATTCAGCATTATATTAGGCAGAGTAGGTGCGCGCGCATAAGGGAAATATTTGGAGATCTCCTAGACGTTGTTATCGAAGTCAAGTCCGACGTGCATACGTACGCGGGCGTGGTTTGCGGATCGTGTGTAGGGATTATCGCGCATCCAACGTCTAGCACCTAGACTAGTGCATGCCAAACCTATGGGCTGGGTAAAGTGTTCCATGGGACGTTAGACCCTGTAGCCAGAGTGCCATCCTATGAGCACCAGCGCCAACTTCCTAACAATGTCATTGTATAGCATTGGAGCCTCGCATTTCATGCTGATGCTAAGCTGTACTGTTGGAAGTTTTTCACGTGACGCAACATGACGGGCATGAAGCGTACCAAATCCGTGCATTTTCGATTCTGCAGTGTATTTCTATTGGCAGTTTTATGCACGCCAAAATGCTGAAAGACTTCGAAGGCACCCGACGTTTCCGTGCACATCTGTGTAATTTGAACGCTGACCGTCAAAAATCACGTGACTAAAAATCCCCTATAAGCTACGTACCAGCTGGTTTTAAATTTTTCCACAGAGTGACGTGGTATTTCGTAGGCCCTCAGATTTTTTGTGTAGGTCCCCAAATTTTCGTATACGTACGATGCTTTTTGCGCCCGTTGGAAAAACTGGCCTTAATGGTAAAATCTAAGTGTCCATAGCTAACAAGCAAACTCCTGTCAATCCCTTGTAACTTGTATACACTGCCATACAAAAAAGTAATCAGAAAAAGTCATCCTGTACATTTGAGAAGATCCATGTCTCTCACAGGGTCTCTATCGCTGCAAGTGACGAAATTTGACCAAGTCGACAGACGCGCACGCAGACGCAATTAATGGTGTCCTTTTGCAGGATCGTTTGTGGAGAAAGACCCGCAGTGATCTACTGCCAGAGTTTGGGTGCATCGGAGCAGATCCAAACAGGAACTGGCCCTATGAATGGGGAGGTGAGTTACTCTTATCAAACCGACTTAGTATTTTGCAATAACCACACGTATATCTTTCTCTGTCTTATTGATTTCTTAATTTAAAGCATTGTCATCTGCATGTTATCGGCGAAATTGCTCGCCAAATAATTTGCCAGTAAATTTTACCTATCACTTTTTCTTGTTCCACAGTTGATAAATTTAGGATACAATTTTCGTAATGGTTTTGCAGTTTAGCATTGAGTGGATCTGATATACGGTATCCGTTTGACCAACAAAAGGGAAAGTCGACGTGGCTTTCACGCCAGAGTTTCTTTGCTTTGTATATACGTGTACAGGCAGAGGTGCGACCCCTTGGCCCTGTTCACTTACTTTCCGGGGCCGTGAGCCTCTGTCTGAGGTCGAGATCAGAGCAGTTGTGGATTACCTCACGGCGCTGAGAGACTCGGGACGTGAAATCAAAATGTTCATCGACTGGCACAGCTACTCGCAACTATGGATGGCTCCCTGGTCGTATTCTGCCGAAGCTCCTCTACCTCCAGACGCCGATGATCAGGTACGGTTTCTTTCTAAGTCAGCAAAGTTCAAATCATGGACGTAAATCCCGAAGGAATGGGGCATAATATCCCCCCCCCCAATTTCTGAGGTGGGATGGGCTATTAAATCATCCCCAAACTTTTTTCGGGTGAGCAAAATTTAAAGCGGACTGTAAAGAATTTTTCAGAATTCCCAAAATTAAAATGTATTCAATATCACTAAAAAAGAAAAAAAGAATTTAAAAAGCTTTAAATATTTGTTTCTGGATACATATTACAAATGTACATAAATATCATGAACATCAACCTCTAAATAGAGTCATATAGTGTCCCCCCCCCCTTTTCAAATTTTCACGTCAAGGCAAGTCACTTTCCCCCAACTTCCCGTATCCAGCCAATTTCCTATACACATTTACGCCACTGATTCAAATGCAATGTAGGAGCTCGCGGATGCGCCACGCAGAGAGCTTTACCTTTTTTAACAGAAAGATGCATAGTGTTTAAAAGGCCCTGCAGAGTCAGAACTCGACGTTTCGACCAGGATGCTTGGTCGTCTTCAAGAGAGTGGTGCTGGACGGGCACAGATGGCTGTCTTATAAACTGTTTGGAGATGGTCGATGTGTGGCATCTAGGATGCGGAAGGCGGGTCGCTGGAGCGTGGAAGCCGGGATGCATGCATAAGACTAGGCCCACTAGTGTGAAAGAGTGGATACCATATACCGGTTGCAGAAGAGTGCATGGAGAACAGGACTTCCGGGTTTTGCTTGATGTAATCTTTACAGGAATGGCGCCCAATGTCACTGAGCTGGAACCCGGTGTCTTGGGGAGCAGTTTCATGTCAGTAGATCTAGATGGCTTCCTAGATCCTTCTTGCCGGGAAGCCAGTTCTTATGGCCGATGAGGAGATTACGATAAGTCTGGCATTGTCAAACATACCCCACACCACGGACAACCTCATCAGTTGGGATTCTGCCAAAGTCATTGCCACCGTCAGGAACTGTTCTTTTAAGAGCCACACCTCTTTTAAAACGAGATGATTTCGCATACACTTTCCACCCTTAAGCCTCCTACAGTTGAGCCACCGCCGTGCTAGGCTTCAAATCTTACTGCAGGTTTGAATTCCAGTGCCCCTAAGCAAGACAACTTACGAAACTATGATTATGTTTGGCCTGGAAAGATGAACTTTTTTCCATGGAACCGTCAAGTTACACAATGTGACGATTACTTGAGAAAAAAAAAGACTTCACGGTACACATCATGAGACGCAATTGACGAAATTTTATAGTATGCCGATTAGGGGTAAAATAGAACACTCTGGTCCCATGAAAACAATGCCTTTCTGACATGCATCGGCTAAGTTTCACAAGAGGTCCAACAGCTGATTTTGCCAACGTATCTGTATGAAACACGAGTCTACATCGCGATTAGGTTGAGGACAATGATGCTAACGCTTTTCCAACTTGTTACTGTTACAGGACTTACTTGCTGGTGCAGCCATTACCGCTCTAGAGAGCAAGCACGGAACAAAATACGACAAAGGAGGATCGGCTCGACTTCTGTGTAAGTGGTGGAAGCTTTCTTTCGGCGATTCTTGATAGCAATTGTTGGTATTGGGCCAACGGGTGGAAGAAAATATCAGCAACTGCAACCAATTCTCCTTTTTCTCGCACTCATGGTGATGCTCGTTTCGACTTCATGTAACAAATTATTTTCTTCAGTGGGAGATTATGAGACGCTGCTTTAAGGCAGCAGGCACACCGATCCTCTTCATAGTATTGAACACGCTCAGAACCGTGCGCGCACGCTCATAACAACGTGCGCATGCTCAGAACTGGTAAAAAGGACAGGTATGTTAGCCGCTATACCAATCGTCTCAAAGTACCCCATTGCGCATTTGTCCGAGAGGGCAAGTCTGGATGCCAGCGGTTGCCTCACGATTGTGAAAAACGTAAACAGCAAACGTTCACTCATGGCAGGTTAACGGAATCATAACGCATTTGAACTCGGTTCAAATATTTGGCCACCGCATTAATCGTGACGCAAGAACTGGTTTTGATAAGGGCGGATCTGGTATTTTTTCGGGGGGGGGTGTTAATCCATTATATTGTCATCGGTGTACAATTAGTAATAAATGTTGTTGGATGTGTTGTCTTTGCTTTTACCACTGCTGCAGCAATCTTTGTTGCATTATCTATTCTTCGTATGCGTGCGTCAGTGCGGGGGGGGGTTGACCTCCATCATCTGCTTCGTTGCCCGCTTTGCGCTTACATTTCGTAAAGAACTGACCACCTTCGTCTCATTGAAAAATTACACGGGACACCCTTTATCTGCTGAAGTCTGCATGGATTATGTCTTCCGCTTTTTGGATCCAACCAATTTGGTCCTCTTTTTTTTTCCTTTTTTTTTTGCTATACCCATTCGATTACAGATGAAGCGGCTGGGGCGAGCTGCGACTGGGCCTACGCCACGCTGGGAGCCAAATACTCCTACGTGGTGGAGCTGAGGGACACCGGGAAGTTTGGCTTCGTATTACCCCCCGAACAAATCCTGCCCACCGGGGAGGAATCCTATGCGGGGATCGTAGCCGGGTTGGAGTATGCCTTGACACATTAACAAAATATTATGGCGCAGTGGCACAACAGTGCGGATCAAACTCAACAGTTTTCTTTTTTTAAATTCCCGGATTTTGATGGTGCTGAACAACTGTAGCCCTGTAGACGAATCCACTGACATTTTAGTGGACATTCCTGGTGGCATTTTGAATGGCGGTAAGCAATGGCTCATGTACATTACATTTCACAATGCTTATCGCCATTAATGGGGGCCACTCCAAATAACCAGCGAAGACCATGGTGACATGCAAGTCACCAAAAATGTGTGTACTAAAGAAAGGGCATGGCCCTGCTCCAATTCTAACGCCACTGCAACGACAATGAACATAAATAAAAGTGAACTTGATAGTTACGGGTAAAGGAGGGATAAGGTTGACAATCATGAAGATTTGTTCGAGATGATAAACAATTAATGGAGAGGAGATAACTGATGAAGATGATACCGAACTTGACAAGGCTGAGGAAATACGATGAGGGTCCATGGATATATGCAAGCCTTATGACGATAATGGCACTTTTCAGATTTCAAACATCTTGGTTTGTGACGAGTTTGTTACCATGACGATGATTACATTGGAAATTGGATTACATTAGATTTAGGTGTAAAATGGATGTTGCTGACACATGGTGTTGGCAAAAGGGATGGAGGGTGTAAAAGTTTTTTTAATGTGACATTTGGTGGCCTTTCTTTGGGGACGGAAAAAAATTTACTTGCTTTTGAAAGAAAGAGAAATGGATTTGACAAAGAAACGCCTTTCTCTCGTTATTTAAAACAAATTGGCCCCTTTTGAGCAGCGGGGACCATAGTTCCCGTTGGACCCATGGATTTGCCCTGTCAAGCGGTGCATAGACACTAGTATACATTTAACATCTTTGTAATGATTCTCGAACGGATTCATTATAGCAGTACACTTGTGCTCCATTAATTTCATTCTTATCTATTCAAAATCAGAAATAACAATAGAACACACACTGAAAAATAGTCTTGTAAACAGTTTAAGATCATGTGAACGTTTATGTAGATTTTCCTAATGCACAAATTTTGTTTTCTGTTTTTGATGTTCTTTAAAGTATAGTTCTCACTATCTTTCGATCTATTTCTCTCCTTAGACCCGAAAGCAGATTTCTTCAAATGCATCAGAAGCCTCCTCCAAATATAATTAGGTTATATATCTCAATAACATGCATTTTTAAACATCCACTGCTTTTCCATGAACTATCTTTGTAACGTCTAACCTAGCAAATAGTGCAGGAGAATGTAGATCTAATGTGAGAGTCATGGACGTAAAAAAAAGAAAGCGAATTGTGAAGAATGTTTGACACTTCCCAACGACTTAAATACTTTCAATATTACTCAAAAACGACTAAAAGCCATGAATAGTCGTAGATATCCATTCTGATGTAAGATTCGGCATGGGTGTATGTATCGCCCAAATATCAGGTATAATGGTGTCTCCCGCTTTTCAAACTTCCATGGCCGGGTGGTCATCCCCCCCCCACCTTTCCACATCCCGTATCCCCCTATTTCTGGCACAAACTTACGCCAAACGGCTTAGGTATACCTCCTGGTCAAAGAAAGCTGCATACTTGCAATATCTTTCGAAAATAATGGGGGATGCAATACAAATGCATTCAATCCAAATTTTACGAGGATTACTTTCCTGAGATCATGCCTGTAGACTTCTTTGAGAAAACAATAGCATTTCAACTATTCTTAGGCAAACTTTGGAAGGTCACCATGGGTCAGTGCCTGATCTGGAAAACAACGAGATACTTTGGTGACACTTCGATAGGGCATATAGTTGACGCCCGTGGTATGCACACCTTTGGTGTGTAGGGGGCGTTGGGTGCGAGAAATGAACTGGTGAAATGGCTGCTTCATGAAAACAGCAAAACATCCTCGAACAAAGCCTGTATTCAAGCGTCCATTAAGGGCGCTGCATTGAAAATAACGTATTCCTAAGCTTTCCATCACAGATTAGTTTCAGTGTTATCTTCGGTTTGTGTGCCATGCAGCTGTCGCATTCCCGCAAGTTTTACTGGCCTGATATCAGTTTATCGTCTTTGGCTTTGTGGTGAAAAAGATGACAACCCCTTGCTAGTGGTAGAAAGGGAGAAATGATGAAGTTCTTACATCACAATTTCCAGTAAATGTGGTCAAATGGTTGAAGCTGTCATGCGTGTCTCTTGTGTAGCGTCCTCTGGTTTAAATGTACGAGCTTAATCCCAAGGTGCAATAATATTATGTTCTATTCTTCCATGAAATGTTCACTCTTGCTTGATTAAGTTGACCGCAAGGAGTTGTCGGGGTGAAGTGAATGCCGTGTGTTTAAAGTTATAATTGCAATGGAATTTTTTTTAATACAATCCTCCAAAATGCACCTTTGTGTATCAGTTAACATGACTTTTAATCTTTGTTTCTCTATTTCCAAGAGCTTGTTGCTGCCTTTGGGGGTTTCATTCTAATTAGTAATTTCCATAGTCACGAGCAAAACTGTGAGGTCATGCCAGGAAACTTTAATGTTATATTAGTTTGTGCACAAAAATCTTCCGCAGGTTTTAAAGATGTTGCTGGTCTAAATTAACTCTTCTTCAGGGATTTGTTGTGTAAGCAAGCAATCACTCCTTCTTCATATATGTGGATTAATTATAGGTTCACAATTTAAACAGAAAATCCTGTTCCTACCCAGATGACATTGCAGCTACAGCGGCATTAGAAAGTATGGATAATTGTAAATGCTAAAAAGTGCATAATTTTTTCAATGCATTTAACCTAAAATTTGTAATTTTGCAGAACAATTGTGTCTAAGCGAAATTCGTTGCAGCTACATTTTAAAGAGTAGGATTGTATAATTATAGACACAAGATATTATTTTCCACAGTTATTTACTGCTGGGTTATAGCACAAATTGTGTGAATATACGGTGTTTAAGAAAGTACATGTTCGTTGGCCTAGTAATCGAAATCGTAGATTATCACATATTCGAGGGCGGATCTAGAATTAAATTTACAGCTGGGGGGATTTTTTCTGAGAAGCCATAACCAATGGAATTTTGTTAAAGATACCCATTATGTTCATGAATACAGTATGCCACTTGGTAAGGATCTTGTTATTGGACCCCACATTTTTCAAAGAGCCCTCTTTCCCCAAATAATTATGGTGGATCAATTTCAGGTTTTGTTTTATGTTTTGTCCCCTTTTGTAACAGACAGCTGTACACATCACTGTAAAGTGAACTTACACTCATAATTAGTATCCCTTTCGATATGTAACAATTTGCAATATGACCACCCAGTCAAGACGTGATAGTTCAATTAGTCATTGTAATTCATAATAAATATTAATTGTAAAGAACACGGTCCGCCCAATCAGGATCAGCCGTGATTATGACGTTGTGAAATTACTTTCTTTGACTGGTCAGTTGTGAAAAATACCAACAGCAACTGGTGGCAAGGGCAAGCGATGATCATTTATCAACCGCTGGTTGATTTTTTGCCTGGTAGTCAGGATCCATATTTTGTACACACGTTACCAGGGAAAATCGACGAGTGCTCAAAAAAAAAGGTAATTCCTTCATCTTGAACTTCTATAATGCGCTTACCCGACGCTTCAGAGCTCACAGTCCGTGGTGAGGGGATGCTCTAGTGGGGTCGGTTCACCATTCTTCGGACCAATTGAATTGGAAGTTCGCAACAAGTCACGATGAGGGTTCTTCTTCTTCTGGCTGTTGTCGCCGCTGTGACCGCGATGAAGAGATACGATGGGTGAGATTATGTTTTTTTGCATACCGGTATACTGTCAAGCACAAACAATCACGTTAAAACTTGGCTCACAAAAGAATATGCAAAGGCGTCTTTTGGACATACAAAGGGAAGCGAATTTTACCGCGAAACCTTTCCCAGCGAACTCGCTTGGTTTGAAACTTGTGTTCCATTTCGACGGGTTCGCGGTGCAAATATGAATCTGTGATACAACAACGCGTTCGTCCTATGCGAAAAGGATACTGGCGTTGGGGCGGCAGCGCCCGCTGGAATCTAAACCGGGGAAACCCTGGTCCGAGAAGGCCAAATCAACAGGCAGTGCTGGACTGCGTCGTACGAAGGCGATGGTCAATATACCGGTTGGATCGCTCCTCCGGGCCACCCAGGGCCCTTGAATGTGAAGCGGGTCGAGACGTACCGGGCCCATTTATAACGCTTTCTAATGAGAACATTTCGACATTAACCCCCACTTCCTGGTTTGCTTATATATGGGGGGGGTATGTCTCTGAAGGATCCTCGGACGCATTACGGAAAAAATATAGCGTTGGCAAAATTCCCCCAACCTGGGGTAGCAGGGCCCCACTGCCCACCCACGGGGGACGAGAGCTGTGGTGCGACTCGGGCGTGGCTAGGGCTCGGGCATCCGTGAGACAAGCGAAGGGTGTGGCAGAGAGCGTCCGCCTGACCCGGGCGGGGCGCTGGAAACGGTGAGCCAAGCGGGCCTTGGCCAAAGAGAAAGTGGTAAGCCTGCGCCATCTTTGAACCAGCCTTTTTAATTAAACAACACGACCAACATAAATGCCACGTCCTTACCGGCACGCTGATTAACAAATTCGGTAAACAAGTCTCGGCTAAATAAGTGCTAGGGAGAGAATTCCATACAGGGCCTACAGACGCCACTTTACACCCTGTGCACACACAATGCTAGAGTGGTTTGAAAAAACTCAAGTGTGTTTTTTTAAGTAAACACCTCAAAATTTTCACTCCTCAATTTGGCAGAAAGTGCACCTGCCTTGACTCTACAATTTTCCCAGGGCTGACGGTAATTTTGATAAGCTGACATGAAAGATATAGATTCTACGAAGCTGTGCGTTATCGTCGTTGATACCGTTTGTAGAGCTTTGTTTGCCCCACAAAAGTGATAAGGTGACACGGAAAGTTTGGCCGTACCTTCCTTTGATGGTTCTGCAAGGACATGATTTTTTATTCATTTTTGACTGGGTAGCTCAACCCTTTCTTCAAATACATTGTGTGAAAATACCATGACGAAAAAGTCACTTTATGAGGTGTGCATGTCCCCTCAGAGGCACCGTAGCCACTACAAGAACGCAGCAGATTTTTAGATAGGCTCATTCTGCCTTGGCCTGTCACATTTATGAATATTATGAAATAATACTAGAGTTTTATACATTTACGGGAAATACATTTGGTATCTTTGTGCTCAGAATGGTGATTGAAGAATCCTATATACCTCAAAAAGATTTGGTTCATTGAATTAACTATTATGAAGCGCAAATTAGCTGCTTAGAAAACGCCTGTTTTAGGTTCCAAGGCGGGCAAAGCCCTGAATTTCTTACCGCTCATAGACGTAATTCAATGCTGAGGCGTCTTGATGCCATTCACTGCGTCGCCACTAGTCTTGGGTTCTTTTGCTCCCTCCTTCAGAATTTACCATGGTGAGAACTGAACCAGTACTTCGCCTCGAACACAGTTCATGTGATAGTGCACGTGTGAGTGTAGTGCAATCAAGGTCCCCAGCGCTATGCAAAACAAACTGAGTACTGTTGTGAGATAAAAGGAAGCGGCGAAAGGATGACTTAAATATTTTGAAACAAAAAAACTGAAAATATCTGAATCTGGTGACCATCGTTGAATGTAGAATTTGTTATATATTGCAAAACGGGCATGGGCATATAAAGAGACGTTGACAGAGCTACAGAAGTCCGTTTAGTCTTGTCAAAAACAGTCTAAATACCTTGATAGGTAGTCAGGTTGGCGTATTGGTTCTTTCCTCGCCCTCCACCTCTGCGGTCGGGGATCGATTCCCAGCTCGGTGCGCATGTGGATGTGGTTTTCAGTCCCATACCTGATTTCGAGGGTTTTACCGAGAATATCCCTCTGGGGTTTTCCTCCCACCTCTTAAACTGGAACTTCTCACTGTCTCCTCTCTCTCTACAAGCTTCTTCAGGCTTGCGAGCTACAATGCAATACATAGGTCACTTTTGAGAAATCCTTGGTGTCATTACCAGACATAATTAAACATAGTGATATTTATGATCTTAGAGGCCTAACAAGCAAAGACTCTGTAGATATTCTTTGTTGATCTCTCTTGCATTAGGTTCAAGGTTCTGCGGGTCATACCGAAGGACGAATCCGATGTGGCATGGATACAAAATCTGGAGCTTCATTCCTTGGTAAGGCTTGAAAACACAAAGGGTAAATTGAGCAGATTTTCAAGAAATACATGCATTCGTTTTGTTTCCTTTGTTTTCTTTCCCTTTTTCTGTCCGTCATTTCATTTTAAAAGCTAAGTATAGGATAAAACTCAATGAACTTACGCATACTTCATCAAATAAGCCTCCCCATTTTGGAATGGCAATCCTTACAAGTTGTATAACACATAAAACAACGCCTGTGATCGCTTTTTTGTTAGGCCTATTGTTTTCGTTTCGGCTAACAAAAAGTCAGTAGCCCACTATTGATACTATATAGTTCAAAGAGTCTTCCCCCCTTTTAAAGGCGATGTCAGTTTCTTACAAAATATATTCACACGTTTTTCACACCCAGTTAGATCCGAAACCTACATGAGCGTCCCTTTATGGAAGTAACGCTGTAGTTCTGTTGGTCGTTTCTACACTCGCTAGGTCGAGATATGGAACTCGCTGCACAGGTCCAACCATCCCGTGGACGTCATGGTGACACCGGCCAACGAGGTGCAAGTCACCGGGTTGTTAGCAGACAGAGGCCTGGACTATACCGTCATGATCGCCGATGTCCAGGCTCAGCTTGATAGCCAGGCCGTGGCCTCTGATACACCCCCGGGCGCATCAACTGCCGCCTTGGCGGACTTCCAGTATGACATATACCACACATATGACCAGGTTTGTTGTAACCGCACCGCCTTTCAATAAGACAGCCACGCGCAGAAAAAAACAAAAACAAGATAGACCGCGAAGAGGAAGCCTTTTCAAATGAGATCGACACACTGCATGCACTGCTCATAATATATAATTATGTATGAATGGCACAAACAATTTGAATAATTGAATAATAATAATCGGCAAGGTTGGCGGTGTATTTCAAAATGCCCATTTCCCTGTTCCATTTCAAACGACCACCCGTCATTGTCATTGGTCCCTTTCTACTTCAACCTCATTCATTTTTCTCCCTGGCATTTACGATTAACAAGCCTTCCTTATTATTATTTATTTTTGAAACTGAGGTTGCGGCGTCTTGCATAAAGCTTTCGTGCTTGCTTGCCCGTCAATCTGTGTCTATTCGAAAACCCTCCTTCCATCTGAGACCATAGCATTTTAACTGCCCTCTTTCTGTCAACCCTGTGAGTAATAAAGCGTTTTTACAACTAAATAATTATCTTTAGATTCAGCAGTGGGTTAGTGACATGGCTACCGAGCACAACAGCATCGTGTCAAAGTTCAACTTGGCGAAGTCTTACGAAGGTCGCGATATCAACGGTATCAAGGTATAATTTTTATACGAAACGATTTTTTTAAGAGGTTACCGTCGCTTCATGATGGAGTTGACGTAAGTGTCACTGATGCCGTTTTGCTCTTGAAAAGCTAAACTCTGGCATTTTACATCAACATTTCTCCAGTTAGAAGGGATCGAGCAATCCACATTCTACAATTTCGTTTGAGGAGATATCATTTCTTTTGTTTTTTAAAACAGAAATTTAAAATTCAGTATTATAAATGCAACCGAGTAAAGAAGAAGACATTTTTAATACATAGAACATTCCCATCCAGTTTTATAAAAACTTTGTATGAATGTTTACCCCCCCCCCAAAAAAATCCTATTTTTTGCTCTTTGTCTATGTCTCATCCGTAAACAATGCAAAACGTTTTATTACAATTATGAAGATTATTTGGTGGTGATGGTATTCACGTGATGAAGTTCGCTCGTCTCCAACTACTTTTTTTAGATTTCGACGGGTGTTGGCGATCCAAATAAACCCATCGTGTGGTTTGAGGGTGGCATCCACGCACGCGAATGGATATCACCAGCTACGGTCATGTTCATTTCCAAATCGGTAAGACACGGATGTTGTCAACGAAGAGCGTTGTATAACATCAGCTATTATATTTCAATATTTTTAGGCATTTGGTTTGTATACAAATAGGGAAAGTATCGACTCCAACTTTAAACAGATGCCAGGTATTCACTCAGTGTTGGAACTCCGACTTCATTTCTCTAGAGAGAATCGTTGGCTATAATAATTCATTGCAAGGTTTGTTTACGAAAAGATGTAAAAGCTTGACAACACAACTGGCAAACGTCTTTGCAAAATTATTTGCGATAATTATATTCCGCTTGTACAAGATGTAGGCTGGTCACTAATTATGAAACGTTAGCAAGATCGCACTTAATTGTTTTCAATGGCTTTTGCCATTTAAAAAAAAATTCCTGAGTACTTTTTTATTGGGCAAAAAGTTTCGCTTCGATAGTTTCAACAATTTTCTACGTCTATTCGATAGTGCAATCCCACTTTCCACGAACAGGTAGCGGAATTCCCTGTGATAAACAATATCGATCACAGTGGTGACACTAACATCTGATAAATATAGCGTCACAGGGCGATAAACCGCTGCATTTCCAAAGCATTTTAAAGGAACCAGGTTGAGACTGCGCATTAGTACTAAGCCAATCAGCGATCTTGTGTGATACCAGGGATTGACCTGGCAGAAGACTCTTGTCTCATCTTCCTATGGGCCGATATTGCCGTTGTGGAAGGTTGTGTGTAAATTGTGCAAAACCACTGCTTTCCGACAACGCTCTCCTGTGTGAAAAGGCTCCAAAGTTGTGAGTCGAAGACAAAGATTTCTTTGCTCATAACTGCAAATCTTTATCTCTACCTCTCAGCTGGTGGAAGACTACAATAACGGGGTCACCAACGTGGTCAACATTTTGGACGGGTTTGATTTCCACATCATTCCTTCCCTGAACGTCGATGGTTTTGTGTACACACACACGAATGTAAGTACATGGGCAACAGTTAGCAGCACTCAGTTTGGAAAACAACCACGTCCACTTTGCAGTGGTTCAAACTGTGAGTTATCAACCGGCTTGCCCACAGACTGGCAACTGTCAGCATTATTTTTAGTGACGTGTAGTTGAGATCTCTTAAGCTCAGTAGTAACCAGGACCAGGACTGGAGTAAGTGGTTCGTAGCCTCCTTGGGCATCACAATATACCTGTCCTCTAATACGCAGCGGTTTTAACTTCTTAGTCATGGTACAACGAGCCTTGCATATCACATCGATGTCAAGCTGTACTCATAAGCTATAGCGAGTTTTAAACTTGTCGAAGATTCGGAAGAACGAAGCGCACCATGGGATATTCGTTGGCCCATAGAATTCTCCCTTGGCTACCGATTTTTTCGAAGGCTCCGATGAGCAAAGTGCATATACTCTGCCTGGTTTCAAATCCAGCCGTGGTGGTACATACATTGATTTCAAGTATCCACGTCTACCATGCAAACTCCTGCAGAATCCTTACTCGCTCCACGTGGCCGCAGACGTGTGCAGATAAAACCCCATCCCATCCCGTGACAAATCTCTGTGTCTACCTCAGTGGTGTTGACCACCGCAAGTGACGAAAATGACCACAGAGAGAGAGAGCAATAATGTTCAGACGCAATTAATAAATGTCCTTTATGGCAGGACCGTTTGTGGAGAAAGACCCGCAGTGATCTACTGCCAGAGTTTGGGTGCATCGGAGCAGATCCAAACAGGAACTGGCCCTACGAATGGGGAGGTGAGTTACTTCTTATCAAAGCTACACGTAGGCCTACTTATTTTACAATTTCTACCTTCCTCTGTCTTGACGAATTGATTTACATACAACATCAGTGACATTGTTTATGAAATCAATGTTAATTCTTCTACAAATGGGGTGTGATTTCTTTTAAATCTCCGGTATTGTTATTGTTTCAGTTAAGCAGACGTCTGATCTGAGTCCCATTTTGGTTCACAGTGGGTAATTCGATACGTTTTATGGTAGTGCTGACTTTGTTCTCGTATTTCTAGGCAGCGGTTCGAGCCCATGGCCCTGTACAAACATTTTCCGGGGCCGTGAGCCTCTGTCTGAGGTCGAGATCAGAGCGGTTGTGGATTACCTCACGGCGCTGAGAGACTCGGGACGTGAAATCAAAATGTTCATTGACTGGCACAGCTACTCGCAACTATGGATGGCTCCCTGGTCGTTTTCTTCTGCGGAACCTCTACCGCCAGATGCCGATGACCAGGTAAAGTTTCTTTCCAAGTCAGCAAAGGTCAAATGCCTGTGTCTCTAAGCAAGGCAGGTTTACGAAAATATATTCATACTTACTCTGGAAAGGTTAATTTCTTCCACGGGGCTGGCATGTTATTTTTAAAAAAAAACATATAGCATATCATTCTTCACATCATTTAAATGTACAACAGTTTCAGATGAACCATTGGTGTGCAGGTAAGCTCTGAAGTAGATTACTTTTATTCTACGAAAGATGTATTAATTTACATCGACAAAGCTTCACAAGAAATCCAGCAAAGCTGATTTTGCCAAAGTGGGCGTGAGCATAACACGCCTTTACAACGTGATTGAGTTCAGGATAATGAATTTAATAGGGCAGTTTCCGCTCATTGCCAACACAGGACAATCTGGGCGCTGCCGCCGTTGCTGCTATAGAGAAAAAGCACGGAACAAAATATGTCCATGGAGCATCGGCCAGACTCCTCTGTAAGTATAATCGAGAGCTTTCAGCAATGTTTTCCCCTGGTATTCAACTCCTAGCCTGAAGGCGGCAGGCCTATTTTAGAGGAATAAAAGGACTGCTGACGTTGCACGGGGAGTTGTGTACTGTGTGGCCCACATTTAGGGCTGCGGCTGTCCAGTAACACGTGAACCCATATAAAAACGCTTGCTAGCGACTGCGACTGTTGGAGTGCTGTATAGCTTCTCCGAGACGCACCTCAGACGTATCGGCTTCTATTCGCCCTTTTTCTCGCACTCTTTTCGATTATCAAATCCACGACTTTGGAATATACTCAAGCAATCATGACTTGATGCAATTGCGATTATGTAACTTGTAAACGACAAAAATGTTGAATTCACAGCAGGTTAACAAAATCATGACGTCAAAATCGCACACTGGACATGACGCCCTTTATGCAGCTATGCAATACTGCGTGAAGTTCACGAACACCGTCTTCCACTTTTTGGATCCAACTATTGTGGCTTCTTTTTTGCTGTACCCATTCGATTACAGATGAAGCGGCTGGGGCGAGCTGCGACTGGGCCTACGCCACGCTGGGAGCCAAATACTCCTACGTGGTGGAGCTGAGGGACACCGGGAAGTTTGGCTTCGTATTACCCCCCGAACAAATCCTGCCCACCGCGGAGGAATCCTACGCGGGGATCGTAGCCGGATTGGAGTATGCCTTGACACATTAACAAAATAATGGTGCAGTGTCGCGTGTATGGTATGCGCTCTAGGAGAAATGGACGTATAGAGCACATGGGGGATGTGATCCTGCTCCCACCCCTTCTTACTCCACTACAGCACCGGTGGAAATAAGCAAGGGTGATTCGTGAACGTTTCGTTTGTAGTTAGCGGGTGGGGTGGTGGGATAAGGTTGGCAGACACGGGGATGACTTGTTTATGATAAAAAGACAGAAGCAATCGTTCAAAGTGAATATTAGACAAATAGCTAATGATGATGACACCGTGAAACTCGACAACGGACCGCGACATAGAAGCATGGACGTGCATTATACGACCATTATAAAGATAATAACATTTTGCTGAATTGAAAACCTTGATTTGTGACGAGTTTGTTACCGTGACGATGAATGACTACTTTGGGGCCATTATATTGGTGTTAAATGGATGTTGGGGCACATGATGGTGGCAAAAGGGATGGAGGTTGTAGTAGGTGGTTAACATAGTCGTAGATTAATTGTAACTGGTGTGGTTAAAGGCGGCTTACACAATTCGTCCATGCGTTTCACTTTCGCAGACACAAAAATCGACCCATTAACATAACACACGTGTGCGTTGTGTTTGGCCGTTGAAATCGCTCCCGTCGTCCGTGAAAGTGAAACGCGTGAACGCACGGTGTTCACAACGCACCATTGGCCCCTACGTCATGCGCCATTCTTTGTGAAAAAGATTGCGCCGGAACTAGCGCATGTTGGCTTTATACACATAATAACTGTGCTCGTAGGATATTCACTTCGGCATTACTTGCACACTTAAATTACAGTTCGCGTCACTGGCGAATTGAAGGGTAGGAGCCTAGGCCAAAGGGGGTTGAATATAGGCCCTAATACTTGTAATGACATATCTGGGGGGAGGAGTCTGTGATACGTAATCTACATGTACCTGGAAATGTAAGAAACTGAAGATCGATTTGGACATGATTTTTTAACATATTTCCGACTTCACGCGCCCTTTTCTCAGAACATAGTTGGGGAATCATTCCTCATTTAGCCTAGGTGTATAGATTTCATATTCTAGTCGTAGTATACCCGTAGATTAGTGATTAGGCCTAAACTATAGAATTCTTCCTACGACGAACCCCATAGATTTACGGGTAATTCTGTAGAAAAAAAAGTTTTGATTTGGTGGTGTGCATGGTGTAACAATTTTACTTACGTTTTCTGTTTAAGTTATTTTCTGATCCTGGTGAGGGATTCTGTCTATTTTCTTCTGCAGGATTAATTGTTTTGGCACTGGTAAATGTTGAATCTTTTCAAATCAGCTTTTCTCTTTGTCATCGCTCATGTCGCCTAAAACTCAGTGACATGCAGTCAACCTGGGACTTCAAGTAATAAAACATAGTATTTTCGTAGTTTTAGTAGTATTAGTGAAATGTGGTGCGTATAGTGGTTTTGCTTGTGAAAAGGGTTCAAGTTACGTTTAGTTAAAGATTTTGGAATTTAAAAATGTCTCTTCATAAATGATTAAAGACTGACGAATCAACGGTTGTGAGTTAAGTCTTGCTTCATTCTGAGTGGTATAGTCCTGAATGTGGCACGTTCTTGTTTCAAACACATTTAAATATGAACCTTGAAAAGCTGTTTCTGGTTGAAATTGAACAGAGTTGACAAATTCTCAGTGGAAACGTTCTCAACAGAACACCTGTGATCTCCGCAGGTTAACAGGCTCGAAATTGGCGCACTCCGAGTCGGGGCGTTGGTCTATCAATAGGTCAAAGCATGGAGGAAGGATATGGTCGAAGTTATCTCTCTGAGCAATTTTAGAGGAATGACGTATGGTGCCTTCTCTATCAGATTGAGTGTTGCCGCACGAAAGCTTTACATCTTCAATAAATGAAGTACTTTCGAACTTCGTTGTAAAGAGATATATTTTCCAAAGCTTAATTCTGTGACATCTCTTTATTGAAACATTTGAAAATATGAAATATATTTGATAATTTGTTTTTTGACAACTTTATCTTGAAAAAGAAAATTATTTAAATTATTCCCAGCTACATTTTCTTCAAGAGTTAATTTGAATTGACGGCTTTCACTGTGAGTGTAAGTATTGAAGGTAAAGATCCCCCCCCCCCATTTAGTTTATGCAGTGGTAGGCTCTTTAGTTTCCCTCAAATATAAACATTGCCAGGTACTCTGGCAGTTGAGCCTAAGGGCATTGCATAGCCGCTGGCTGAAACAAAGCTAGTCTGATCAGTTTACCCACAGCCTGTGTACAAAATTGCAGACGGGCATCCATCAGTGCAGACTGCACTAACTTTCTCTCCGTATAATGTGCTAGCCCAGAAAAGTTTGTCTGCCCCACTATATTGGATGCTACCATGCTAGTCAGATTGCGCTCTAGGTGATCCTCTTTTGGTGCTGTGTTGGGTTTCTTTTCTTGTTTTTTTTTTTTTTGTGTCCTTTTTGGTTTTTGATTTGTATGCTTTTTCGTTGCTTTCTTGGTTTTTCTCCGATTGATCAATGTCCTTTTCTCATTTTTTTTTTGCTCGTCAATTTCAATTAGCAGTCTCAAGTTTGGTGAATGATCTGAGGTTCCCAGAATTTAGTCTGCGTTTTCGTTCTCTGTTAATCCATTTTCTTACATTCTTGGGAATCGAAATAAAAACTTATAGTTCGCGACTTGTCTTTAAATCCGGTGTGCCTTGGTTTTTTTGCTGATTCTTACTTGTGCCAAATTTCCAGGTAACATAAGGCCAGCAGGTGAGTCGTTTATACGACGAGACGGAGGGATCTTAAAAATCTCACAAAACAAGTTTTTGGAAAATAAATCTCGTAAACATGAACTTGAAAATGTGATTTTGTGAAAATGAACTTTTCGAAATCTATATGGGAAAAAACAAGCTTGGGGACACATCTTATAAAATGAACCGTTCTAGAAAACTCACTTTTTTATAGATAAATGTATAGGCCTATTGTGTCACTGCTCTGACGGCTGCCGTGGTTTTCGTAGTGTTGCAAACAGCTTCCTCAGTGGAAATGTGTTTTTGTTACACGTGCCTTATGCCGCCAATACGAAAATGGGAGAATTAATTAATTAACACCTGTTTAAACTTAGAGATATAATTCAACGTCTATCTCCTCCCCATGATATAGTCGGCTTACAGTAGAAGCCAAAAAAGAAGAAGCCACCCCCCCCGAAATCCTGATTGGAACATGGGGTTACATCAGGGTGACATTCAGTTTAAAGGGATTAAAGCATCTCGTTATTGTAACGCTGGACACTTTCCTGTCTCCGGGTCCGAACCTGCCATCAAACGGTGTGGTACTCCCAGCTGCTCAGTTCAGCTGAGACTGATTTGCTGAGTTCCTGAGTGGGCTCAGTGTTCGCAATTTCCAACTGATTTTCGCCCTTTCTTTTCATTGCTCTATAGTTGAAGTGAATATAGGCTGCATCCTAATTTGTTGTCTAGAGCTGGGTTTGGCCTGAGGTTTTCACACAGAGACGAGCAGAAAATAGACTTCATAGTGACCCAGCCGTAGCTCTAGGAGCCTGTTTCAGACACTGAAGGACCCGACAACACATTTTTTTTTTTTTGGTTTGTTCGTTTGTTTGTTTTTGTAAAGGCCTCAGGGATTCGGTTGCCCGCACTGGGTTCCGAACCTTTTTGATTTTAAACTCTTTTCAATGAAGCTAGTAAATAAGTGCAGTGAATTACCTATCATCGATCCTGCGCAGGCACGTACCGCGCGGGCCGGCCGCGCCGTGACCGCTCACTGTACTCATGGCAATCTATTTGGGAAACCCGCCTCGCGCCTGCGCATTCAGTACTTCTTGGTCTTAATAACGGACTCTTGTGTATGTAACGAAATGATGTGCCTTTTGAATGCATTCAGGAACGTGAACCAGACTGAGGTTGAGCTTGGCGTACTCACTGAAGATGTCGTCCAACGTTGATTCACGTGAGTTTTTTATGTTCCGATATTTATCGTCATACAATGTTTGGGGACCTGCAATGTCTCCCAAAGTCATGTATAATCTTTATGGAAGTTTCTGGTGTAAAACACCCTCTAAGAATTATCATATCTACTGATTTTGGAAAAGGTAAAAAATTGTCACGTTAGCGTCCCGAAACGGATTCGCGTGACTGGTACTATGCACGTACGTATTGTGTAAGCAGAGAGTATGAGTGGGACCAGCTCTGTTGTGGCGTGCTCATTGATAAAGACTGGATATTAGCACATCGTGCTTTGTTAGTGCACAAAATGCGCGGCCCGTTTCAGGAGGGTAATGTAATGCTGCACGCTGTCAATGTCGTATGTACTAGCTGTGCATTAAGTCAAAATTGATTAGGCCTATGGAGAAAACCTTTTTCTTATGGGACTGTGGCTAAGCCCTCAGCCTCCCTCTGGAAAACAAGAAAATAATAAACAAAATTCAAGAATATCATTTCCATAACTGGCCTAACCCCACTACTGTGGCACGGATTCTCACTCTCGATCCATCCTTAGCCACACATCCATATACGCAATTTCGTGTCGGCATATTGAACATTTCCGCGTACCCACTTGTCATTGTGGGCGCAATTTCTTTTGCACGCAGAGATGATCCTTAGCATCCCCGCTTTCTTAGCGCCATTTATTGAATGATTCACTCCCGCGTTCTGGTATTTTTTTAGTTTTTTTGCCTTCACCCATTCAATCTCACGGGCTCGCTCTCACAGTCGCCATCTTTAAAATAAGGTCGTTGAACATTATGTCAATTGACCGTTCATCGTGTTGACGGCTGTTTCAAGTCCAGACATCTAATCTGCTGCCCAAGTCTTGGAAAAGCCCATTGGTACATGTAGTATCTTATCACTGTATTAGATATTCTAAACAGAGTTTGTTTCATTGCTTGGACTTTGAATTTTCTTGTTGTTTACTTCATTCAACGGAAACGTCAGCTCTCAGCCTCTCACTTTGGTTTCATCTCTTCCCTGAAGAAGAATTCTGTCACTCATATTACATCATCTGTCATGTGATTTTGGTTCAATGCGTCTGCAGATCTCACAGCCACAAATTATGGCTTTCGTGGATATTTTTTCAATAAAATCTGGGGAAATAAACGACAAATCAATCCATCAGCCTTGTTGAAACCACTTTTGCCTATATGTAATATTTCAGACGGTCCCACATCCAAACTGCCCCCTCACTCATTAATGCACGCCCTATAGTTTGAGTAACTTGGACTCTTAGTGGGCCTATGATATGCCTTTTTTATCATTTGGATTTGGTCGGCGATAGTAGAGTCCAAATAACATTCATAGGTTTTCCGTTCCCATTAATTCATTTCACTATAAATAGCTTATACCCAGAGTCAGAATCCTTAGAATTCACCTCCCTCCCTACCAGTCTTGAGACTGTCTAATGCGCCCACTTCAGAATTCAGTGGGAATCAAAGATTCCAATAGACTGGTGGTAAGGTTTACTCGTATATGGGATGAAAAGAGAAATTTTTCGTTGAAATTGGAAATGCTCATCAGCCGAGCTTTAAGTTGCAATCTTCGTTTAGCAATTCAAATTGTATGTGAACATACCTTGAGACGACGTCATGATGCGCCAGCCATGAGGCGGACCATTCTTAATAAGCATACAGTGTCTACATGTGCAAGCCAACAACTGTTTCCTGAGTGACACATTGGCCGGCATACAACTAGATGTGGTCACAGCTACCATGAGTACCAGTTCATAATTCAAAGTGCTCTACCTTGACATTTAGATGAATGGGGCTTGTATTGACATTCCATTTGACAAATCTAAATTTCTCAACTAAATATGAATGTTTTCCTTTCCACCTCACAGAATACGGTGCTTATGGCACTCAGCAGGCCCAAGGGTGAGCTCTCGTTACTTTGCTGTTGATTTCAAATTTAAATTCCACGCTTGGCATCCACTTGATCCTGAAATGACTTAACGCCCGCACATGCCAAAGAATTATGCTAACTAAAATTGTGCTGAAAGTCTTTCTCCAATTGTGCTTTTTACTCGGTTCCCCTATAGGTATAGCTATGGCAGTAGCCAGGGCTATCAACAACCAGCAGCAGGTACAGCACCTCCGGCCCAGCAGTCCACAGCTAGCTATGGCCAGGCCCAGCAGGGAGCGTATGGCCAGGTAACACCTACATGTACATGTAGTACACTCATTGGCTTCGCTCAGAGGCCCTCTTTGTGATTTGTTTGACAGGACAGCCGTAATGGCAAACTGAGTCACCAGAGATGCCAACTTGTACGTGTACGATTTAGATTTAGACAATTTAAATTTAGACGATTTAGACAATGGATGCTCCTTGTTAGTGCACTGTGTTTCTTTTGTTAGATGTTCGTAGTGTCATTGCATTGAGCATTGCACAAGTCTTTTCCACCACTGCGATAGCGAAATGCAAAGCGAACTTCATAAAAATGGAAGTTTCTTTTTAAACTTTGTGGATGTAAGCAGGAAAACATTTCCATACATGTGTTTTGACGTGTAAAGAAGTTGCTGAGAGGCGTCTTGTGAAGAAAGAGAAGATAACGGGATATTTTCTAATGGGCCTATTTTTTCTCATTTTTTTTTTACTTGCCCAAAAAATTGTAAGGGCCATATATTTAGGGTTAGTTAGGAAACCGGAAGTAGAACTATTTTCGGGGGCCTTGGCTATCATTACTATTGCATTAAGCTTCAACTCGAAGGGTTTGAATGTGTTTCTTTTGAGAAGTACATGTATAATAGGTAATTCGGAATCGTGTGATAGGATTACACTTTGCATTTTGAAAAGTTGGCATCTCTGTGTCTCTGTTTGTAAACGTGCCAGTATGTTTGAAAATAATGACTGGGGCCTCTTCTTTGGATGAGTAAAGGAAGACTTTTGGCTAGGGTACATCTCAATCCTTCAAAATCTCCCAATTGCCACCATGAAAAATTAGGATACAGCCTCAGTCCTCCAAAATCTATCAATATTTCTTGCATATGTTTTGGGGAGGGGTGCCCACTACCTCTATCTTTCAAAATCCTGGAGCAGTATGGAGGATTTCACAGAACATGTGGGCAGGAAGTTATGCATGGCTAAACATAACACAAGGTCCAACCCACAACCTTGTGACAATGCATCCTTCGCAATCAGCAGTGCAATTTTGCCATGCAGCCTCAATCCCCCAAAGATTTTGAAAGACTGATGGTTAAGGTTGAAGTTTCCTTGCGCGGTAATGTGAGCTTGCATTCTTGTCTTACAGTATGTTAAAAGTATAAGCATGAATGGGTACTTGAGCCGTTGTGTGCAAGAGTTGGGCAAAACTACTCCACAGTTGCATATTGAATACTTCATAACAATGCAATACTGTTTGAATTCATCAAAGACGCAGACAGGCTACGGTGCACAGCCGGCGGCTACTGGCTATGACTACAGCCAACAGTCACAGCAAGGCGGGTATGCTCAGCCCACAGCCGGAACGGCGGCAAGCGGCTACCAGCAGAGTACTGGATCTTACACCACGCCGGTATCCACATACGGGCAGTCACAACCCACTTATGGCCAGTCTGGTAGGTGAAGTGTAGTCCCTAGTCCCTCCAAATGGCCACTATGAGCCATTTATGCAGATATTGTCTAATTACATGTAGCCTGGAACATAATTGTATTATTGTTTTGAACCCTTGCTGAAAAAATTCACCCAAAACAATGCGGCCACAAATTCAAAGAATGTCTTACTAATTTGCCGGTAAGAAAATTGCATCCTTAAACGCTCTCTGAATATGCATCAACGAGACATTTTATTAGACCTAATAGAAGATGGTCTTGGAATATCCAACACAGTGGTCATAGAAATGTTGTGTTTTAGCTCAGATATATTGAATGTTGCAGCCTCAGACTGTGTTTGGTACTTTGCTTATGGTAGCAGGCCAGACGGGCTATCCCAGCCAGAGCACAGCAGGCACCACACCCGCTGTGACGGGCTACAGCCAGACCTCAGCCCAGGGAGGGTACGCCCAGTCTACCCCCCAGGGGGGTTACAGCCAGCCTAGCACGGTTGGCTACTCAAGTGGCACCAGCACGGGGAGTGGAGGCGGAGGTGGGGGCCAGTCCTACCAGCAGAGTGTGCCTCAGTCACAGAGTAGCGGGTACAGCCACCAGGGTGGCCAGGGGTCCTACAGTGCCCCAGAACCGCCCAAGCCAAGTAAGATTTGTTTTCATTGTCAGTCTTTGTATTTTTCATGTACGTTTTCAGTAGTTTTTGGATTTTAAAAAGCAAGCTTGACTGTCATTGACGAACATGGTATTCAAGTTGTAATTTTATGCATTTTGCATTCATTCGTAACTGTGTCCCCAAAATGGCCAACAAAGTAGACGACATACCCAGATACCTCTCTATCTGAAACCTTCAAATTGAGTGCTTGATCATACTACCCAAAGTTGGCCTGTGTACAGATGGAGGAGTTTAAGTAAGGAAGTTCAAAAGAAACAGTTTAGTTCAGTTAAAGTTCCTCATGTGATACAATGTTGGGGTGACAGACCCTCCAATGTGACAGAGTACTCCTGGCCAGTGTCGCTTTGGTCCTCTGTAACCATTCTGTCTTTGCTAATGGTCGGCCAGCTGACTAGTGTTCATGTTTCTGTGGTGCAGGTGGTGGATATGGCCAACAGTCAACAGGTTCTTCCGGGGGGTACGGTGGAGGGCAAGGTACGTCAGTGGTTCTGTGCTTGGATGCTTTGACTGACTGTGATGGTCCAGGAATGATATTGACTTCTTGATTGTGGCACATGGCATGTGATTAGAACTTTGAGCTGGTTAGAAAGAAGTGATTGTTGCATGAGAAAACAGAAAGGAAACCATGTAGAGGTTGTCTCCATCGTGTTTCAGAGGCTGTTTTGTTATTTTGCTTTAGTTTGAAGGAATGCACAAAAGGTTTAGTTGAACATATCCCAGTGTTTCACACTCTTTGCCCTCTGAGGACGCGTGAACACATAGTCTCTATTGGAGTATCGCAGCTTTGATCACTCACCCATTTCGCCAGCAGCCAACCAAATCAACAATACCAGGTTTGCAAGAGTGCTGGCATTTACGCTGTCAAACAGAAAAGATCAAGTCCCAGTGGAAATTGGCTCCTGTTCCGTGGGGAGGGATACCTTATATGAACGGTTGTGTGTGGTTATTTCAACACCCCTTCCATTGCCTTCCCAGCAGGTGGACCTCCTAGTGGGGGAGGTGGCAGCTACGGAGGGGACTCAGGTGGTGGATATCGCGGTAGCCGCGGCGCTGGAGGTGGTGGTGGTGGAGGATACGGGTAAGTTGCAGTCCAGATAGACGGTTTAGACATTAGTTTCGGCCATAAGGGTCTGGAGGTTTTTTTTTAGTGTCGCCTTTTAAGCCAGACGGTCTGCATTCCTGCAATCCACAAAAGCTGCGTTTCGGGGTTTTTTTGTAGACATAGGTGGGTTACTTAGTGAGAAGTGCCTAACTTATTGGGCGCATGTACCCGTTTCAGCTAGTTGTGGATTGTTCACAGCTGTGTGGTACAGGTGTTGTGATACAAATTGCTCATGATGTTTTTCCATGCGTTGGTGGGTTATTTGTCATGAAAATGTATAACTGGTCAAGATTGTGCGTGAAATGCACCACAATTTATTGGGGAATAGCTGTTGGTTTTTTTTTTTGTTTTTTTTCTTTTTCATTTTACCCCGTCCTGTGCTGCATAGAAAAATACTAGACTTGGGGGAATTTTTTTTAATGAAACAATTCACAATGACACTTCTTCAACATGCTCTTGAAATGTGTCGTGTGATTGTCTGTTTTTTGTTAACCAGCATCTAGGTGCTGTTACTCTCTCCGCAGATCCGAAACTTCCACAGGTTTTGTTCAATGAAACCTATTGCATGACAAATAAAGAAGTTTCCTTTGTTAGTATTGATAATTTTGTAACATGTTCACATGAACAAATAACGTCTTTAAGGGGGTAATGTGTTTTCGTGTAAAATGTTTCGGTAAATCAGCTTATTGCAGTATATACTGACATTTGGGTAGTAGTATTGTTTTTTCTTTAAAAAGTATTGCATAGAAGAAATTGTATTGAGACATTTTGTTAAGTGGTGTTAACAGTATTGAAACGGTGTAACGTATTTCTTACGGGTGTTTGAATTTTGTACTTCTGGTGTACAAAATGTCATGTAATATATGTATGGCATCGTGTAAGAAAATCCAGTTTCATGCTGCAAGTGGTAAATATGTTCAATAGTTTTAAGTGGGAAAATGAAATTGTATGTTCATTTTTTTTGTCACATTTGGCAAATTAATTCACAGGATATATAATTTTTGTAACTAGCGTCCGTATCAGTCATGTCCCATTTTTGTTACCCATTTTTATGATTTAAATTGTGGTTAATATTTAATATTTAAATTAGAACTAGTCATTTCAATCTCTTGTATGCCTCCACTCCTTGCATGTTTGTTGATCCCAAGCTCACAGCAGGTACATACAAATGCAAATTTGCTAGAAATGTGCTGTCACACTTGAGCAGTGATGACACAGATTGGGTATCAGAGTTTTCATACCAATTTTTCAAGTATTACCGAGTGTACATTTTGGAGAGACTTTCCATGTACAGTTCGTGCAGCAAGTGGATTTGGCGTACAAAAAGACTATTTTAAGCTTGAGACTTTAACCTTATTTAGCCTGAATATTTTCTTTTCAATTTATATGTCCTGTAGATTAATTTCTTTCTCATGTCCATGGAAAAATAATGAGGAACAGGTCCTGAGGTTTGAAGAAAGGTTGAACGATTTCAGCGGCAGAAAAAGATCGCAGCCACTGCCAGTACGGGAATGTCACACTGCGTTTTCATTCAGCACACCTGATGCCCATTCTCCGTCCTCCAATTTACTCCAATTTGAAATTTGTATGAATGCTTCTAAATACTGAAGGAAACTGTCACCACTTGAGTAGTTTTGTCCCTGTCTCCAGAGTGTGGCATCACCCACATTTATCGAGACAGACAGTTTCAGTTGTTTTTTTTAACTCGGCTGCAAAACTTTGACCCCTTTCCCTAAACCAGGAATGTTGAGATTACTTTGTTTGTGCACAAGATATGTGTATACCAATATGGTGGCTTGTTTGTCGAGTGAAACAAACTGAATCCAGTAGAGCTAAGTGCACTTCATTGGCTGCCGTGATTCTACAACATCCGTTTACTGGTCAAAGCAGATATCAGCGCTGCAGCTTTATGTACATGCATCCGTGTTGATTGCTGGCTGTCTGTGGTCCGTGATGTCAAATGGTGCAGCTAAAGTCCATCATTTTTTACTAATTAGCAATATTTCACATCAGTAACTCTGCCACTGTTCTAGTTGGAATTCATACTGTGAAATTCACACTTGCCCCGGCCTCATGATATCGTCAATGTGGTAGACATGGAGTGTGTTTCTTGACAAGAGAACTGCTGTTCGTGGATGTACTGAAAATTCTGTGAATATGCAATTATTCAGGCATATCTGGCTTCTGTGTGAGTAGAAATATGCAAAAGATAGTCTGCTCTTTGCTTCGATGTCACAAGTGGCAAACGCGTGATGAAGACTGCGGAATGAGAGCTCGGCATGTAAAAAGCTGACACGAGATATTTTCTCCACACCATAGACTTCCCTTCATTAGAATCAGGAATTCCAAAACCAAGACTGAAAACAGAATGCAAGTGTCCAAGGACTGGAAAATTTCAAGGTTGGAGCACTTCCATCACCGGTAAGGAGTCATGCCACTGAAGAATGGATGTGCAACTGCAGAAAAATGCCTCCTTAACATTTTTCACTGGTGCCTGCAAGCCCATCAAAGCCGCAGCTGCAATCGTGCCACTGAATTTGAGGAGTGTGATTTCTTTGGTTTTCCCCAGATTTCAGGATTGTTGGAAGCTAAATAATAATTTTTGGGGGCTATGATTCTTTGTTCTTTGTACAAAACTCAAGTGCTATTTTCACATGGAATCCTCGTCTTGAACTCATATCCTGTAAGCTATCAACAGCCTTGAAAAACTGGTATGTTAAAGAAAATGCCAGTGCTCGACAGTTTTGCTCATCCCACAGTGTCTACCCCTGGTCAGTTGACTGGAGTTGAGTCTGGTTTTCTTACCGTTTGAAGGATTTTCTTCAGAGCTTCACATGAGAACCGATCAAAGATAACCAGAGGGAGACGTTTAATGCTGCTGGACCTAGTTGCGCAAGGAGCATGCACTCAAGCCATTGGGATAGTGTTGAACAGACAGAAATATTGAAGGATGTTCCATCCCTAGCAAGATTGGCTTGTATCTGCCATGTGCATGTATCTCTCAACTTCCAATTTTCATTCCAGAATACATGTGAGTGAAGGTTGAGTGGGTAAGTATGCAGCATCAAGCCCTTCATCAAGAACACAGTGAAAATGATTTGTCAGAATTTTGATAATATATGATACAGACCTAGGCTCATGGACCTTGGATCAGTGGAGTCCATTTTACTTGAATGTCGACAATTCTCTTACAGGTGGGGAAAACATTGTTCAAATAAGTACATTGGTGTATGGCAACATACATGTAAATGCTTTTTTTAGGTGTAATATAAAAGGTAGTCTGAACGTGTGTTAAAGTAACTTGGCCCTTGGTGTTAACTCCAAAATATCTTTCTTGTTGTATGGTAGTTATTTATGACAGCATGTTTGGTGATTTGTAATATTTGGAAGTGTGCATTTGTAATGTTCAGTTGATTATTGCAAACCAGAGTTAATGTAATCAGTAATTTCTCGTCGTTAAAGAAATTCTGAAGTATTGTATGTTTTTGTATTTATTGAGATACATGTATGTAGATTGATCTGAGGCAACCAAATTTTTAGTCCCAATGAAGATTGCGTCCTATGTTGGAACTCAGTTCAGAGTTGTCTTTTTTTAGAGCATGAGCCATTTCTTTCTCCAAGAATCCTTGGTTTTTCAAATTGCATTTGTGATCACGTGACTGGGGTAAGTCACGTGATTGGTTGCCTGTGTCAGGATCAGTCTATTTTAGTGTGTATTGATTTGTCAGTAGCGTTTGCTCAAAATGACACAGTCATGTGACTCAGAGAAATCACGTGATTGGTCGCTAGTAGTCCGTGATGGAGGATTGGTCTGTTGCAACTGTTGTCGAAATGCATGGGATAGACGCAGTACTTGAGTAGATTCTGTAAGATAAATGTAAATGTGTGGAAAATGCAAAACCAATCTTCCTTTAAAGTGAACCTGATCATTCAACCCTGGAGCTTACAGTGATCCAGGGGACTTCGGAGACTTGGGGTAGAACCTGGGTCTGGTCCCCTGCCTCCTAAGCATTAACAAACCCTACCATGTATCTCCTGCAAATTCCTTCTCAGTGGTGACCGAAGCGGCGGAGGCGCCAGCCGAGGGGGATTCAATAAGTTTGGTGGTAAGTTGGGTGTTGATTTTGTGCCTCTTTGTTAATTTTTTGGGGGGTTGGTTTTTCATCAGTGTTGGTAATACATGAAAACTGAGGCACTGGAAATACATGTAATTTATGGTAAACAAGTTTTTTTTGGGGGGGGGGGATTTTTGTTTTTTCTTTCTCAATATTGGAGATGGAAAAAGTACAATCATTGTGTCAAAAAGATGTTTTTTTTACAATGTGCAAGCAAACATTGTAGATAGATGGTCTCATGACATCCTCAATAATTTTTACATTGAATGATTGTTTTCATGAATTGTTCAAGCACCGCAAGTTTTCAGCATAGCCGGTGAGTGGTACTTTTTCAAAGTGCATGAAAATGCAAAAAGTTAATTTGTGGAGAACTTGTAACCATTTGTCCAACACTTGATATTTGTTTGCTCCTTTGGTAACAAATTGAACAAAAGAGGAATCAGTTTAGTGAAGAGGGGTCTAGAAATGAAATTGGTGTGTCACTGCCTTATCCAGGGGTGTGAAGTCTCTGCTTTTTACTAGACTTCCGCTTTTTGTTGAGTGTGCCGAATTTCATTTTCCACTTTTTTGCCATATTTTCTTCTTTGCGCAAGCGCCAATTTTTCCACTTTTCTTTTTCTACGGACGTGACGCGACAGTCGGACCAAACTTTGCACGTCCTCCTTCCGACACAGAGCAGTACTGTTACACTGTAATGCATGTGACTTACTCTTCTGTATATGTACATTTACGGACATACAGTGTATAGCGCAAGTCTTGCGTGTTAACAGCATACTGGGACCATCTGGTCATTGTGTTGTGATTGGCTGCAATTGAAATATCAATATTCATATATTCATGTCAGTGGGACTCGCAGTAGCACACATTTCACTGGAAATTTGTGGCTGGAAATTTGTGACAACTGCTTCGTAACAACTGGCGCAGGTAGCGCCAAGGTTTTGTGTCATGCATTATGGCACGGTTCTTGCGTGCTCTGTGTGCCTCGTTTTGTACGAGCTTTATTTTTGGACATAAACTCATTGTAAAATCAGTGTAACACAAAATGTATAATAATCCAAAGAGGCTCTGACTTGAATACAACCTTTGACAAGACTGATCCTCAGGCTACAAAGCTGGGAAAATGGACGTGGATGGAATACACTGTAGTAGATGGACAGGCAAACACAGTCTGTGCCTGCTAAATCCAAAAGCCTGCGGTGTGCATTCTGTGTAACAAAGAATTGAAATCTTGAAAATTGAGTCGGATCAGGTGTGAAAAAGGGCCAACTCGCTCTACAAACCTCAATCTTCACAACTTTGGTACGCGTATACCTGTTCATACTGGTTCATTTTAACCTTCAGGAATTTCAGACGGATACGAAGACGAAGTTAAATAAAAATGTGCATAGCCGAAATTGTAACAAACAATTCAGTGGGTGCACTAGGAGGCTGTAAAATGCACCACAGAACATCTACACTTAAAAACTGTCCTTGCCGTATATGCTTTGCACTTCCAATTTCAGGTACCTTCAGCTAATTTTGGTAGTGGTCCACTCGAACCCTTGCTTATCAGACACATTTCTGTACTTGGTACATAAAGAGTGTTATCATTGTTGGTTTCCAGTTTAATCAAAGGAAAGCAAGAGGTGATTGATCAATTTAACGGAAGTCTGAAACTCTAAATAATTGCAACATAGACTTGAGAATTTGGTCAGTAAGATTTGTTCCCATCGCTATTTTGAGACAGGTATTTTCTTTTGGATGGGGGGGGGGTCACTTCTGGTGAAACTAAAATACAAATGGTCTAGATTGATAGGACTCTGGCATAAAACATGTCTGCTTGAATATTAGCTTTCAAGCATCAGGTGTAGCTTTATGATTCCCAGAGTAAGAGTTTTGGAAGGTGGAAGAACTCGATCAGGGGAATTCTAGTAGCAAAAGATATTTCCAAGAGTAAGTTTGGGTGAATTGGTATCATGTATCGGTCGAGATCAAGAAACTACATTTGACAAAGGGATTGTAATGCAGCTGATATAAATTTACATGGACATGTATTTGACAACCACCCTCCTCTTTCCCCATGGATGTATTTGGACTCTTTAGGATAACTTGCCACTGTTGGAACGATATCAAGAGAAGAGATTAGAACATTGAGCAGTGGTGTATACATCACATGCAGGGGCGAACGTGTATATACGGAAAAAATATGCATGTGACTTCACATGAATATGTGCTCACATGCCCCTGTGCACCAAAGAAAGCTGGACGTGTGATTTGCATAGAACAGAATATAAGAGTTTCCTGTGCAAATGAAATGCAATGACGGGCTTGTTTTCAGCCAAAAGTAACTGGCACATTTTTGTGTTGGGTACTGTCTCCTAAAATGCGAGCTTAAGGTTATATGGAGGAGAAAATAATATTTTAATAATTTCTAGAAAAACTGTAGGTATGTTTGTGCTCAGCTCCAGTTAGCTGGTATGTGTTTCCCGATTAAAAACATGGGTGGCAGTCTCCCCGAGTGCTAACCCTAGTCCAAGAGAACAGACGAATCATTACAATTTTTTCCATGGGAGTAGTGTAGAGAACATGTTAGAGAACACGGTTAGTTTTTTTTTTTCCCATTGTTGACTTGAGTTCAGTGGAAACTGAAGCAGTTGGGAATGTGTTGTACATGTACACCTGATGTACGTGTGTCTGATAATTTGTTAATGTGACTGGGTCTGAAGCACTTCCCGTCAAGAAATGCTAAATCCTTGGTCTTACTCGGGTGTGTGTGTGTTTGTTTTTCCCATGAGGCCAGGTATTGGCTTATTCAGTAAAGGTCTTTTTATTTTATGGATTTTTTTTATTTCTGAGAATTTGTTATGAAGCTTTGGCATCAAAACAGGTATCAATGAATTGTTCGGGTTGTGATTTTTTTTTTCCTTTTTGAATTAAGTACGTAGAAATGAAAAAGTGTTCAGTGTCGGGAGTAAATTTTGGGTAGCAAAGCAGTTTGCTAATTACTTAAGCAGCAGTGTGCGTATGCTCACTGCATTTGCTGTCGTAGTTTTTAATATAGACTGTGCTGTAAAGAATGACTAAATAAGGTGTTCCTATTTTTGAAAAAAAAAATTATTTAAACTTTGGTTTTGTTTCATCTTTGGTGATGCAAATTGAAATATTATAAAAAACCTTAACCTGGGATGTTTGGGCTAATGTTGGAGTGTTGTGTAATTCAAGCGACCCAGCAGCGCACTGCATCCAACTTGTCAAACATTCCTCACTGGGAACATGGTTTAATAACCTAATGTGATGGATAGACAGCATGCAACTACAGGTTTAATGCCCAGTTCGGTTTTTCAGGTTTCTCAACGCATAATAGCCATCTATAAAAAAATTTTTTCAACATGTGTGAAGAGTTAACGCATGCAAAGCGGTACATTCTTCTGTAAGTTTGGCCTGAGAAGTACACTGAGATGCTGTAAGTAAAAGTGTGCCTTGGAAATCACACACCGACAGGTGTAATTTGTCGGCTCATTGAACCCAGTGTGAAAGGACCCAATCAACACGAAGGTTGAAATGCTCCTTCCGTTCACTAGATTTCGCTTAGTCAAAGTGCCGATTTTGTAAAATTGTTTTGCGTCATACAGAGTAACTCTTACGGAGCGGGACATCCTCTTGAGGACAAGTTTGTCCTGGGAAAATCCAGAAAGGAGTAAACTAAGATGCTTTTCAGTTTTGCTTTTAGAAGAGGGTGATACCAGATATCAGCCTTTGCTGTTCAAGAAATCGTATATCAGCCCCAATTAATTCACATTCTGTTATTTTCTGGAGGGGAGGGGGTGTTAACAAGGTATTATCAGTAGCGTTCACTTTTCAATGTGTCTCATGACTTACTTGATACTGGAAATGATTGCAGCCTACACAGTGTACATGGAGATCATAAAATAACCTAAACTGTAAAGTAGAGATCTGATTACAAGAGCTAGGGAATTTTTCAAACTCCACGTGTAAGTACATTGAAGCCATCGGGTCAAAGTGAAACTATGACAAGGTAAAAATTGACCTGTTCTGCATTGCAAGTTGTAAATGCTATGCCATGGGTTCGATCAGGGTATCCTTTGCCCAAAGTACTGTTGAAGAGGAAACAGTGTTGCTGTTTGTGTGCTGTCCATGAGTTATAAACAAAGTCCACTGACTTTCTCGAGACAGAAGGCGGACAGAATGCCCCAGAAAACTAAGGACAGCACAGAATTCTGTCTTGTTTGCCAAAATGATGCCTTTTGGGAAATTTTCTGTAGAATATTAATGTTACATATGTAAAAGGGAGCAACAGGTCTCATAACACTTTCATTTTTCTTATCACCAAGAGTACACATTGTCTTGTACCTGATGCAATCGCTGGCCAAATGCCTGTAGATATAGCTGTAATAGCAGCATCTCTAGTGACCCAGCAACACTGCAGGGGTTTATTTTTCATCTGGACACGGACCCAGAGTTTGTGTCAAAATATAGACCATGTAGACTGCTGCCGAGGGCTCGTCCATTCGATTTCAAGATGCCAACGTAATGTGAAGTGCAAAATGAGTCCGGGTAGCCTGCATTGCAATGAGTGGATGGATTGTTGCGCAGGCAAGCCATTTGTCAGGAGTAACGCGTCGTGGTAAAAAGAAAACCTTTTAGTTTGAAGAGAACAAAATTGTGATTTCAGAAAAAAACTGGAAATTGTAAGGCATTAGATAAACAGTGGTGGCATCTGTTGCGTTAGCCTTACACCTGTTACACAAGGTCCCTGCCTACCAGTACATTGCAGTGTAATGAAAATAATCTTAAGGTGATGGCAGACCATGTAAAGGAGGTGCTCATTTTCTTCTATTATTTTTCAATTTATTTTATTTTGCTTCGTTCCCATTTCACACCCAACTCATCGGTAAACAGAAACAAAGGTGAATGAGTAGGCCCCGGCCAAGGTTTGTGTATTCATGTTTGGTGAACGGTAAATCTATGGCTGCATCCGAATCTGTTGTCTGGAGCTAGGTTTAGGTCTTCACTCCATTGGAAATGCATGGAGACGCATAGACATTAGACCTAGCCGTAGCTCTGGAAGCCCGTTTCGGACACGGCCTTATCCTGTGGTACCTGGTTTTCATGGTAGCTGTATATCAGCTTGCCCATGCCCTGTGTGTACCTTGTAGTTCCAACTCCAAATACCAAGATACATGCTGAAGCCTGTGAGGAAAGATGTGGAGGTTCATAGGGAGGCTCATTTCAATTGATAAAAGACAGGTGTAAAGCTTCTACCAAGTGGGTGTGAACTTGAATTTGAGTTCACTTTCCATATGCACACTTAGCATGTGTTCTAGTGGCTCATTACAGGTGTAGTACATTGGATTTGTATGCTTGAAGGGTGGAGTTTCAAGGAGTGTTAAAAATTAATACATGTAGGTTCTGAGGAGATACCAGAAACCAGTCCTTCGCAAGCTACAGAGAGTGTAATGCATGATTTTTATTACAAAGTGATATGCTGCAGATTTTTTTTTCTCATCCAAACGTAACGTTTCTTCAAAAGCAATGGGGTAAACATTGCAACAGATTGGGATGTTTTGGGTAGTTGACTCCAGGATACTTGTATTCATAAATGGCCTCAAGGCACCAATGGGGAAATACCTATCGCAATGAATTTTAGAGATTGATTCCAGCAGAAGACTGTGCCAAGGTTGACTGTTATTAATCAGATAACTGTCTACTCAGATCATATGTTCAAATGCGAGCTGCGCTTGTCAACTTACACGTTTGGCACGTGTGTGTCAGTTCCAATCAACCAGCTGGTGATACTCTTGAATATATTTTCAGTCATGGATAGGAAAGGGCACAGCATAAACATGCTAAGTTCTGTGAGTGAAGTGCAAGAAAAAACATTAGAACATGAAGTTAGCTGCTTCCAAAAGGTTGACGTTTGTACCTGCAGACTTGGTTGGCAGTAAGCTTTAATTCCATGTGGTGACATGGATAAACAGAGTAAATATGCATTGGTATTTTGGAACCAGCTTTTTTCCCTCCTATAGATGGGGTTAAGATCCAGGTGTGTGTGTGCCATCAGCAAACTTGCTTTCTCTCATTTTCTTTTTTTTTCTTTTGTTTGGTTTTTCAAGAGAGTGCCTATTTTTGATGGGGAAAATTTACTAGATTCAATGAAATTTCTTCAGAAATGCATCTTTATATCCGTTGTCGCTTTGGGATCTTTTCCCATTTGATGTTGCATCCAGAGTTGAGATTTTTTTCCTGATTTCCGGATATTTTATCAGGGTTTTCCAGACCTCGGGGTTTTTCAAACAGTCTCTTTTAAAATCTAGAAAACCTGAGTTTACCGTTATTATGTTTGTATGTATAACAGTTGATATAGAACACAATAGATTGGTACTTGAAGGGGTGCCTATAGGCAAACGCAGATGTATATGTATACATAGACCTGACACTTCTGTGGGCCCCTCAAATCCTCTGGTGATTATTTCCTGGATTTTTCAATTTCCTCCGACACTCCTGTGCATCATCTCGGGTTTTTTTTGTTTTGTTTTTTAGCCCAGCCTTATGTGGTCAACCATTCTTGGTTGGCCAGTTTCACTGGTTTACTCTGAATTAAGGAGAAATTGTAGTCACATTGTTTTTAATACACGATTGACAAGAACTGAATTGCATGGTATCTTGTATGGACTCGTTGCTACTTGGTAGATTAAATCTTTTCTAGGCAGCCATGGGCATGTTGTCTAACATGCAAGGGTATGTCAGACTAAAGCTCTGTGGGATTTTCCTTCATCATATGTCCATAGCTTTGACCAAACATGGATGTTATTAACATGCTACTATTGTACACTCACTAGAAGTGTACTTGTTTAGTGGATTGTATGGGCTGTAAATACCAAATTCAATGTGTCACCAAGGTGCTTAAGGAACTATATGAATGTGGCATTTTCACTTGAAAGCGTTCTGCACTTGTCACCTGTGTTGTTGAGATTGGCATTCCATGGAATATGCGCGCACCCACGTGTGCACTGGTGCGACTTGTACAATCCTTAGTGTCGGTATGATTCACGAGGGAGCAGGAGTTGGCTGTTTTCGTAAGGATCGTAACACGGTTTATGAAATGAGCTGAGACTATGTAGGGCGTATTTGTGCCCAAGTGTAAACCCGTCGGGTCGTCGTAAGCTTGTTAACTTACAGGTGGGTTTTGTTTTCCTATTGTGACAGATTCTGGCCGTGGTGGTGGTGGCGGCGGTGCTGGAGGGGGCAGTGGCGGCTTTGGTGGGGGCAGTTCCTATGGTGGGGGTAAGTTGCTTGGTATTCTCTCTTCAGATCTTTGACATTTTAGTTTCCTGTGGGGCATTGGATTTTGCTACTCGTTAAGCAGCTTCATCGACCACGCAGAATAAAGTGCGCTACGTTGAGGATACCATAGGCCAAAGCTAAGTCGCTTGAAGTGCATAGCCTCAAACACTGTTGCTCTGTTGCATATGGTCCAACAGGTGAGCCCAGGAATGACCTTTCTACGGATACGGTCTTTATTAGTGGACTTGGCGAGACCACAGAAGACAAGATAGCGGACTACTTCGGCAAGATCGGTGTCATCAAGGTACGCTAGACAGCAAACAAGGTGTTTTCTTAACACGGCCTAGCTTTGTGGACTTTTTTATTTGACGAATTCTGAAGTGGAAATGCTTGAGGGGATAAACTGGTTGCCTTGGGAAAATGTAAATTCCCTGGAAGATGTTGGGTTTTTAAAGAGAATCCTTGAACTAAAAAGAAGGGCTTGTTTCAGGGAGAGGGAGATTATAAATTGTGAAAACCTCACTGACAAGAAAATTCTGTGCTAATGGTCCCTGGTTCAGAGGGAATTTTGCTTTGTGTCAGTACATGCAACTGCATTTTTTTAAAGTGCAACATGTCTCTTAGTGGGGTAAACTCAGAATGGTGATCAAAGTCTTAATATAAGTTGGCCCGGTCATGAGTTAAAACAAACCTGCAAAGGGTCCAAGGCTTTCTTGAGGTGATTTTTCGTGGATATTTTTGGCTCAAACCCAGATTGACAAGAAGCTGGGCAAACCCAAGGTGTGGATCTACAGGAACAAGCAAACCCAACGGCCGACTGGGGAGGCTACAGTGACGTACGATGACCCTCCCTCTGCCAAGGCAGCAATTGATTGGTTCAATGGTAAGTCGCTGAAGAAAATACCCTTTGGCGTTGCGGCGTAGTAGGCCGAGTCACCAAAGAGCTGGCAAGCCAACAATTAGCTTAGCTCCCACTGCAGTATTGAAGTTTGAGATAGGTCGAGGGTTTTGCCATGGGCACGTGACAAAATTTTGCAATCCCACCTGCCCCCGTTGTTTTGTCTGCTTTGACCGAAAAATTCTTTTGTGGTCCTCCAGGCAAAGACTTCTACGGTAATACCATCAAGGTCGAGTTTGCTACATCTCGCCCCAGCTTTGGGGGCAACTTCAGAGGCCGAGGCGGCGGAGGATTTGGTAAGAGAGAGGGTTATTCGTTCTTCTTGAAATGCAGTGGCCTTGCCACCAATCCACTTGATGAAGCCGTCAATTTATGGATACTCTTTGTGCCTCACGGCCAGCAGGATTTTGAATGTTTAAATGGAGATTCCTACAGAACTTGTGTAAGGTTGAGAAGGGAACATTTCACAGCATAGATATGGGTATTTTTTTGAAATCATTCTGTGTCATTGTACATGTATAAATATTACCAAGAAGGTGAAGGATAAACAGATGCTGGAATTTCAAACTGAAGGGCTAAAGACATGCAACACTTTGCCAGAAGCCCAAAACTAATACCCCCCTTTAGGCTTCAGCGTAGGAAAATTTGGTTCCAATCATTTCCCAAGTTCTCCAAGCAAATTTTCCCCCCTCCCTTCAAAAGGTGGCGGTGGTTTCCGCGGTCGTGGTGGAGGCCGTGATGGTGATGGCGGCGGCTTCCGTGGAGGTCGGGGTGGTGACCGGGGTCCTGGCGGTGGCGGTGGTGGCATGGGCGGTGGAGCCCGTCAGGGAGATTGGATCTGCACTGAGAAGTAAGTCCCCATACATTCCTCTCTCTGCCAGTGCCTGGTATCCTTCAGAAATGGCATTTTATTAACTTGTGGGGATTTCATGATTTTTGACCCCCAAATTCTGGTGGTGATTTTGTTGTGTTTGTGAGTTTGTCTCTGAATTCAATTGGGGACCCTGAATAATAGAGGACAATAAGGTCCCTGATTGACAGAGGGTCCCCGATTGACAACTGTGTACAAAACATATGGGTGGTGTTCTAAAAAAGTGACAAACAAAAGAGGAACAATAGGGGGTCCCCAGTTGCAGGCAGATACACACTTGGGTATGTGTGTTGAGGTAAAACGAGCCATAATCCTAGACAAATCTCGTGAGGCTTCCACCCCCCCCCCCCNCTTGTGTGTGTGTTTTGAGGAAAACGAGCCATAATCCTGGACAAATCTCGTGAGGCTTCCACACCCCCCCCCACCCCCTTTCAGTGTATGGTTTATGCGTGCGGTCTGCGCTCCGGCTGAACATGACTGAACATTATTTTCTACTTGTATAGGAAAACGCACAACTTGCCAAGCCATTTGGACAGCAAAGTTAGGCCTAGCTAAAGAGCTCCCAAAAGCCCTGTCAAGTCAATACTTTATTGTCACCCATTGTTACAGGGCCTGTTTCATATTTCCTTTTTACAACCCCCTTCTCTTGTGGATTTCACTGTATCCCCACCTATCTCGCCCCAGAAACCCTGAGAAACGTGGGGATTTGTCGGTTTTCTCCCCTGAATTTTTCAAGCGATAAATGGGGATCAAATTACAACAGGTATACCAATGTAGACAGAGAAAAGATACAAGGTCACCGTGTATTTTAGTACTCAGATTCAGTGCTCGTAATTACTGTTACATTGAGCTTGTGGAAACAACGGATGATGTTTCATTTGCTGTGTTCCTTTGTTTTCATTTTCAGTGGTTGCAATAATCATAATTTTGCCCGTCGTGAGAAGTGCAACATGTGTGGAGCTCCCAGACCTGCTGATGGTAAGCTACTTAAACAATGTTGATTTTTTAGACTCTTTGTTGAGTCTATCAACTCTCAAGTCTCCAAATTCTCAATCTACAAAATCAACCACCAAGTAGAATTGTGTCCTGAATGATGTTTTGGTCAGCACTTCCTGGAGCATTCACCTTTCCCTTGTGTATTTCCAAGCAAGAGTTTATGCGGATTGGAAGGTCCCGTATCGGGACAAATTTCTCAGGATGTTTCTGTATTCCAGAAGGTTTTATAGTCCTTCGGGTTTTGTTTATACTTTTAGGAATGTATAAAAAATAACTTTCCAAGACTGATAAAATACTAGACTTTTCAGAGAAAACTTGTGCCTAGTATTAGCTAGAAAAAGGGAGGAGAATCCCAGTATTTTATTACGATCTGTACAACTCTTTATGGTTAATGTTTTGTAGATTTTCCTTCATCCCTGTATGCTCTTTCCTTTGACTTCCAGTTGCACATCGATCCTGTCAGTCTCCCAGAAATCTACAGGAAGACCGCATTGTTGACTGGTTTTCTTCCAATTGCTTTCATTCCATAGGTGGCATGCCTGCCCCGAGTGGCGGTCCGGGCTTCGGTGATCGTGGTGGACGTGGTGGCGGCGGCGGTGGTTTCCGTGGGCGTGGTGGGATGGACCGGGGGCGCGGTGGTGGCTCCGGCTTTGGTGACCGCGGCGGTCGGGGAGGTGGCGGCGGTGGTGGCTTTTCGCCCCGTGGGCGAGGTGGGGCAGACAGAGGAGGGCGTGGTGGCTTTGGCCCCCGCGGTAGGGGTGGTCCCCCAGACAGTCGCCGGGGAGGGGAGAGGTTCCGTCCGTACTAAAAGTGACGAGGCAAGAAACTGGTGAAGTTCTCTTTTTTTCTGTGTACGAAGTATCAGTCCAGTTTCTTATGCTGTAGTTAAGTATTTCTAAAAAGATCTGTACATATTAGGTAGGGCGGCAGAGGTTTAAAACTGCACTCCACCAAAATTGGGTCAAGCTTCACAAACGTAATTCTTTATGAAAAAGAAATCGCCGAGTTCATCTGAACAGAACTTAATGGACTTTACTGTATTCAGAATGTCAGTCCCGTTGTTTTGTCTTGCCAAGTTTTGACAGTGTGCACTGTACTGCGTGTTGGGCAATGTAGGCACAGCAGATAAGACATCGGTTAGTCTGGTTCAAGGACAGGTGTGTCAGACCAGTGATAGTGCCAGCACCAGATGGAGGACTTAAACTTTGTTGTGTTATTTGGATGTAAATTTGGGGATGTCAAGTTGACGTGAATAGGTTTGATGAGGTGGAAGAAACTCTGGAAGCAGCTGGAGTGAGAAAGAGACACGTCATTTTTTACACAAATTTGAAAGAGGCGGACTTTGATGGCTTATTCATGTACATCACAAGTTGGTAATGTAGAAGCAATTTTTGTCATGCTCAGTGAATTAATCTTGCTGTTTGAAAAGACCCTCCACTCGTTACGGAGGTTTTGTAACTTAATGAAAATAACTATTTTTAAGTGACTGACGTTCCTTTTTGGTTTTGTCGTTACTTTTGTCAATTGTAATTTTTAGAGAAATATTCCACTCTGCATCACACCCACTGGCATTTTAATATTAATGTCATTTGTTAAAACAATTAGTACTTGCTATTTAGTTTTCATTAAGACTTGGCAGTAAACTTTAATGACACTATCATTTCATTGATGTTTATTTCACATAAAAAACTGTTCCATGTAGTGCTACACATCCTAAAATACATTTTAAAAGGCTCTGTAACTACTGAGATTTTTTTGTGAAGTATGGCAGACACAATGATTGGGCGCTATTTGAAGTGGTTAAATTTGGAGTTGAACACAAAGGATTTGACCCAAACCAAATAGCGCCCTCCTATTGTGTCCACCATACCTCATAATAGGCTAATCCGTTTGTTGGCTGCATATGCCTTTTCCACTTCAATTGAAGACTATGAGGGAAACTGGTTTTTAAAAAACAGGTTTTTTAGATACAAGGTCTCAGTGTTCCTGTGTTAATAAATTGTCTTTTTGTGCTTGTAGAACTCAGGAATGTGTCTTCGGTGATTTGTTTTCTTCATAGGGAGTTTTCATGAAAGGTGTGCAAGAATAGACGAAAGTGTCTCAACAGACCTTTTTACTAATAAATTCATAATTATGCGCGCATGTGCACCAATGGTCTTGGCGGTAAGCAGTACGAGCAGGCCATTGAAAATGTACAGGGGTGCGATTGGATCTTTTTCTCTCAGGTTTTCTGTCTTTGCTCAGTTTTTTTCATCAGAAAAGGTTTTTCTTCAGGATTGCTAAAGAGGTTCAACTGAACTGGCCCAAGGCTTCCTAGTTTGGGCCACCTGTAGCAACTTGCATGCGAGACGGTCTTGGCATCAAATGCACTGAAGTTTTGGTTACTCAATTTTAGTACATGTACAATACATGTACTAAAATTGAGCTCAACATGCATCAAATCTTGCAATTCGGTGTCGATTTGCCGAGAGCATTTTGCACACGGCTCCATGACCAGATAGGTCGACAAGCTCGCCTGCAGGGATATTTGCAACTCCCAGGAAACTGTGCTTTCAACTGACCTGTTGCAGTAGCATCACGTCAATACACCTTGTGAAATATTGTCCAATTTTTTGCATGCAGGATGTGCAAAATCTGTGACAAAAATCAGTTTAAAATGTTCCAAGGGGTTGTTTGAAGGGCTTGGCTACATGCATTAAATTTACATAGTGACAACTCCCTGGCTTTCTTTTTTTAATACAGGCATTTGAGAAATCATACCATCAACTTAATAAAAACCTTGCTGGCTATTAAAGCAAGAGAACTGCACTTAAAGCCATCTTAGTCGTGGGTCTGAACGTATGCCTATGCCAGCCAGAGTAGTGATAAGGTGGCCTCATTGTAAGCAGCGTTGGCTACCTGCGCATGATGCGTAGGGATAGGTAAACGTCACACTGGAAGGCACTCATCATGTCCTGCTCAGCCTCCCGCGCTATCTTGCCAATGTTTCTTTTTAAAAGTTTCTGTAAAAAATAAAATCCATTTCAGTTGACATTAAAAAGATTTTACCAGAAATTGATGCAATGCAAAACTGTATGAAGTAATGTCTGGAAAACAGGCTGTGTGTGTCCACTAGTTATCGACCATCACCATTGTGCAAACCACTGCAAATGGGTTTGAAAAAAAAACTTGAACAAAACTTGGAATTGGCTAACGTCATGAGACCGTTGCAGCTTCCAGACCTATAGAGTCTCTCAATTAGTTGGAATCTTTAGGTCTAGTAACCAGACTGGCCATACTCACCACGTGTGACTTCTTGTGGCAGATTATCATCTGTACAATCCGTAATCTCCCACTCTCCTCTGTGGCCCAAAGCTCATTTTTCTACCATAAAAAAAAGAAACGAACAGCAGAAAAAATTGAATAAACAATCTAATTGCTATCTTTTCCAAGGCCACTGCCTTGCCTGAGGCTAATAATCTCATATCTGCCAAAATCCCCTTTCGCACAATTTTGAGGGCATTTGTGCAATGGGGCAGAGCCAACAATTTAAAATAAGACACATGATGTCTTCATTTATAAAATTCCTTGTACGCAAAGAATGTGCCACTGGTAGACTGATTCCGTAGAAAATCCTTTCCCCTATCCCCTACCTTTCAAAATTTGGAAAATGGGCAACAAATGTTAACTTGATACTTCCATTAAACGCGATGATCACTTACTACCAGGGGAAAGCAACCCAGATTACACATTTCTGGAGTGATGTTGAAAAATTATGTTGGCCCATGTCATTACAAAAACTAAAAAGGCAAATTCAGAACCTGCCTAATTTTACAAGGCCTGTGGGGAGTCTCACCTGTGAGATGTTGTACGGCACTTCTTGAGGGAGGTACTCCAAGAGCTTCTCCCGGACAGCTTCCTGGACGATCTCGTCTGGTGACAGGTTGGTGACGACATTCCTATGATACTCCCAGTTGCCGGGCGATGCCTTGCTCAGCAAGTATTCCTATTAGGTCGCAGACAAACATTTTGCATCACAATACTGATTATTGAAGCCAAAACCACTTGGGACTCGGTCATTCTGACGAAAGGGGCTCACATTCTAGTGCATGTGCATAAGACTTGAAGGACAAGAACACAGCTGCAGCCAGACTCTACTGCCATACCCAGGCCAGGCTTCTGTAGTCCAGGGTCCGGCTTCTGTGCTTCTTCAAGCACAGGTGTGGGGGGCTAAGCTACATGAATTTTAAAATATCAAGTTACATGTACGTGATGCATCTGACATTTGGACTAACTGATGTGAAGGAAAGATGCATATTTTGACTGAACAGGTACATGTAAGCAATACTCTGGGGATAGAGCTTTGACATTGCTTGGCAATTGATGGACATATATATATACACCTCACAGTCACTAGAAGCATTTTCATTCCTACAGAACCAGACACAACCAATCATTCAATGACAGGACTCACCTTCAAATCTCCCAGACCTTCTCCATCCAAGGCCGAAATCATGAACACAGCTCCGAATCCATCCCATCCACTCCGCTTGTCTACTTCCTGTAACAATTTCCTGTATTTGGCCCTCTCAGTGTTCTTGGCCTCGTCTGCTTCCACAGTCTCAACTGGCGGGTGAGTCCCTTTATCAAAGTCGTCACTCTTTGATGAGAAGTGCTCCAGGGTCCTGACATATTCTCTCAGTGTTGGAGGGAGTTCTGAATTATTAAATCCAAGATTGACGTGACTTTCCGGGGAAGCCTCTGTACCACTTTCATCACAGTCTCTGTGTTCAGCATCAAATGCTTCAACTTCATGAAGCTCTTCGCAAGACAAATTGTTCCAATCTTGGTGGGTACCTGTGGAAGTTTCATCATCAGATTTCTCGACATGATCCACGGTAACTCTGTCCACTGGCTCTCCTCTCTCTTTTTCTTCCACCAAAACCCCAGTTTCTCCATCTTCCAATGGCCTGGGTTTATACTTGTGGGAAAGCAAGGGGCGAGTGTCCACTTTGCCGAGGTGTTGTGCTGTTTGGTCATCCAGGGCAAATGTCCGCCCCTCGATGATGCCCTCCGTCAACTGGGCGGTCAGCTCAAACAGCTCTTTCTTGGTGTTGATTAGATCCACCTGTGGAGGTTCATGTGCAGAAAATTGCCACAAACAAGTTCTTCACCAGGAGAAACGCAAATCCTTCAAGAGATTACGCCTACTATTCTTTCTCCACTAAGTTTGGGCAAGTCTGTCCCAGATTTAAACGAAGTTGATTTCACCCTTTCAGATCAAACTCTTGACTATAAGAACTGGGTAGAATCGGAATTGCAATTCACTTATTCTTGTTTCAAGACGGTTGATTCTGGGTGTGCCTAATAATTCTGAAGAATGGTTAACTCCAACTTGAGTTCAAAGATTTGGCAAGTTCTGAAAAGTCTGGAAGCTTCAACACACAGCAATCTTTTTGTCTCCACTCTAGTTTTAAAACCAAGAAGGGATAATTTTAATGAAAATGGAACTCTCACAATTTCCCTGAGAGCTTCAAGGTTGGTAAATGCCCTTTCTTTCAGGCGCATTTAATCAAAGGGATACTGCAAATTGAATTTTTTGCTGGTATTTTACCAATTTAATCATCCAACTCCATCCCAATTTCCATTCATCTATTTCATGCTAGGGCCTACAGGTTTCGGGTGTGATCAAGCGATTGCACCTTGCTACATAGCAATGATGTTCCTGGCAGCTATAAACACACCATAGGAATGAATTTGTTTGTGCCAATACATCACAATGTAATTAGTAATTTTTATCTACATTTACCAAGCATAAATCCTGCACCAAAGTTTTTCGGGGGGTCAAACTTGTTTTCAGAGAACCAAAACTAAAGACAAGAACATTTTTTCATAACAATAGTCTTTCATGGCCTTTTTTGAGTGGTCAGGCTATATTAAGGGCTTTTTATGGAGGGAAGGAAATGAAATCAACCAAAAATTACCTTTCTCGCATTATTTTAAAAAATGTAGTTCATTTTTGAGAGGAGCATGGCCCTCTTACCCCCCCCACCTTTGAAAATTACACCAAGTGGAATGGTGTTCAAGTACTGGGTCTGACTTTCTCATTGTCGCATGAAGTGGCTACTTGTAAAATACAGTCATGTCTGAACCCATCAAGATTGTGCCAGATTGTCGTCGGTGAAACCTATAGTTCAGAATCACACCTGAAAATATGACCTCTTGTCTGAAGTAGGGCTTATGGTTGGCCTCGGCTAACCCGGCCGAGGCAGACAGCAGCAGTGTGGCTATCACCCCGTGACTGCTGCACCCTAGCGCTCGTCCACAGGAGCTGGAGGTTACCACAGCCCTCCAATAGTTTCAGAGCGTCACTACCATTGAAAGAGAGAGGGGGTTCTTTCCAACTCACAAGCAAACTTTATCAACAAGTGTCATTCTGAGGGGGCGGGGCTTTATTTCAGGATTTGGACAAGATTTTCTACCTTATTCAGCACCAGGATGGATACCGCCTTGGGATGTAGGTGCAGAGACATCAGAATCTCGTTGGATATCTTCTGCCTTGTCCACTTATTGGATGCATCCACTAACACCAATGCTGTGAATTAAAGAGATGAGCTGTTCAGAAAATGGTATATAGTGCTATCATGAGAATTGATATCTTTATTTGCATTTGGGTTGGCTAATGCATAATTACTACCATTTATATCAACCTGTCCTTCGTTATGTGGATATTTAAGAATCAGTTAACCACTTGCGGCTGGGTGTAATTTGAAGTTGCATGACATAAAACCAGGGGATTTTAAAGATTTTTTGCTTTCAAAAATTCTTTAAAAAATCATAGCTTCCTTTACTGGACGTTTACACCCACATGAATGACTGTTTGGTGGCTACTCTAATCTGATAGGCAACATCTATTGACACCCGAATATTTCAGCCAAGCCAGCGGCCTTGTAAAAAGAGCCCAGCCCAAAACAATGACGGATTTCCTCAGCTATTGACAACTGAAAAAATGTTGGCAATTCCCAGCAGCTTTGTATTTCGCTCCGAGTACGGTCTTTTGTTACAAGGCCCAGCTCTTTTGTCCGATTTTGGGCTCCCCAACTGTGTGTATAAAGAACACGTACCCGAAACCTGGCTCCCAAGCAGCATATGGTTAAACACAAAACGTACAAAAAGTTTTAAAAGCAAAGTTGCTTTGAAACAGCAATAAGAAATAATCGCTTTTAATTTTTTTTTTATTGGGGAGAGGTGTTCCTGATAAAATTATTTTTAAAAAAAGAGAGCATATGTATGAAGGATTTCCTCATGAAAAAAGTACAAACACCAAAGCACTGGCACAAAGGTAGAGTGTACTATTTCGTCGACTTGTTTGTATTTCCCCTCAGATCTTGATGGATGGGCACTGCCGGACTGCAAGAACACCACGGGCATTTTAAACACTCAATCCATCTCTGCAGCCATTTGATTGATAAGAAGTTACATCTGTACATGGTTTGATATGTATTACCAATCAGGTTAACAAATGCAATTTGTCAGTCGGACAACATTTTTGTCACTCATTAAAGGAGTCTGTTACCTTAATGTAGGACTTGTGACCCACCCCCACCCCCATATAAAGGAGTCTATCTAATTAAAGGAGTCTGTTACCTTAATGTAGGACTTGTGACCCACCCCACACCCCCCAATATAAAGGAGTCTGTCTAATTAAAGGAGTCTGTTACCTTAATGTAGGACTTGTGACCCCCTCCCCCAAAATAAAGAGAAAGAGACAAGACAAATTGGAGAGTCAGAACTGAATATGAATTGGCATATCGCATGGACTCCCTCAAATAATCCAATAGTGGAAAATGTGAGTTTCATTGGATTCACTGAGCTCAGCAGTGAGAGTGAGAAATATTCTTTCTCGGCAGTTTACATTTTGAAGAGTCAGCAGATCGTCTCGCGCGGTCTTTATTGGCCCTCAACGATGGGAAGGGGCAAGTCACTTTTGAAATACAGGCATGTAGGTGAATGAGGTACTATTTCTGTTCTGCAATGCCTCTGTGTACAGAAGTCTCCCTAATTATGGAGGTATGTAAGAGCGTGCACGTTCCGTTTCCATTTTTTCTTCTTTTCTTACTTCGGGCAAAATCACCATGTACCAGCTTTATTACACAAGCGTAAAAACTGTCATTATTCTGAACAGCAGCTTGCGCGACAACTTAGCCATAACCGGGGGCTGCCTGAGCAGACAGTGAATTTTGTGCTGATAAGGACCTATAAATATGACTCCATCTTACCAAGATCTGCCTCATGTAGACTGTTCTTGGGATCAACCAACAAGGAGCGGGCCAAGTGATGCCTACAAAGGTGAAAAGGAAAGTCCCACATAAATATCGTCGTGAAAAAAGATAATCTATCGCTTATAAATTGTATTAATATTGATGTGCATTTTGACCTAATTCAATCCATTTTTTTTTCTCCCATCAAGAAAGCTACAAACTCCCAAATTTAGTACAATGCCACAGAGATAGTGGCGTATCCAGTGAGGGCAGGTGGGGCGGGGTGGTGGGAGGTCTGAAGAGATGTTACCCACTTTATTCTTTTGCTAATTGAAATCACCAACACTCTAGAAAATAAAACTTTCATCTTTCTTGGATTGGGTGAGGATTCTTTGATGGATGAAAAGGAAATATTGGGCCGTTATGTAAAACAAAAATCCTGGAATATGGAAAGGGAGAGTCTGGTGCAAGATTTCTGTCAGACTGCTGGCTTTGTTAGACCAAGTCTCGAGGTGACTCAAGCAGTAATACTGCAAAGCAAAACTTTTTAGCTATTTCACTTGGGGCCCACCCAATGACTAGAAATTACTGTCCCTTTTTCCAAGCAGGAGAACAATTCATGCTCACTTTCTGCCATGTTTGTAGTTGACCATGCCCGGTGTGTCCAGCAAGACCTGATGACCACAAAAAAAAAAATATCAAAACCTAGGAAGTGAAAAATCATTCAAGACATATGGAATTAAACTTACTCCATCCAATGGAGTAGAACCTGGAACAGTCTTTCCCAACAGAGTCTTTGCGATTAGAACCGCACCAGGACACTATGTACAAGAGTATGGGGAGAAAATATCCCATACAGGCTTACACCATAACACACTCTAAGCAGATTTTTACCAACCCCTCTCCCCACTATTTCAAAGAATTCCCGAGATTCAGAACCACTGTGGACACCACTGAGAGATAAAGGGAGTGGATCCTTCAGCCGTATCTTGCACCAAATGGTGACACGCACACTGTGAGAAGATAGCAACCCTGAGATTGCTCCAAATGTGTTAAATGCCAAACACGTGCAGGTGTAAATGTCAGGTTTTAAGTGCTATTTTAAATAAAGATAGGGCCTGCAGATATTTCTATCTAAGTTCAAAAGGGCATGAATCTCAGTTGGTAGAGGACTGACAAAGTATTCCTTGGCTTTCCAGGCTCAATACTCCATTCAAATTTCTTTGTCCATCTTTAACATCTTCTCCACAACCCTCCAGATGTGGTTTACATCACATTAGAATAAATAGGCTTGGTTTATAGCAAGCATCTAGTCAGTCTCCCTGCATGGTGTATTGGATGAGTTGACGGTAGTCACAGGTGAACTTGAGGGGCATATGGAATCCCATTAATTAATGGAGTGGAGCGACTGCATCAGGTGCAAGTGATGAAATTGCCCACACACCAGTAAACGACACTTTTAGGCTGAGTGTCCTAAGTCCTTGGCACCTCTTGCAGGAATGAAAAGAGGCCTTTCAAAATTCAGAATAACGATGAGGATCTGCTTGTCATTAGATTCGCTGTGTATCAATTGCCATATGTGGCAAGAGACTATTTGCTTAGTGCCTATGTGAGTTTGGGAATGTGGATTTGGCTTTCAGACATCTATCCATTTAATGCCCGTCCCATTCTGAACAGACCAAAAACTAATGAGGAATTTTATGGTTACATGTTTACTGGTAAGAGCAGCAGGGAGTCGATAATGTTGAGAGTTTTTCACTCACGATCTGTGTACTTTCCATGGTGAGAACAGCAAGGGCATTCAACTGCGTGGTGTGGACTTTGCTGGAGACAGAACAGACCTGGCAAGCAGAAAAAAATACAAATGAAGTGAAGGAAAACGTGATGACACAATAACGTCACAATCAGGTATAAACCGCAAACTATCCACAAAGTTAACAAAGTTCTGTGGCTGGGTGACTAAACTATTAAAAATGACCAACTTACGCTCAGGATCAATTTTCAAGGCTTGGGTTTGTCAATTGTAACAAAAAAAAATAAAACTCGAGATAAGAAAACACACCTTTATATACCTATAAGAAGTTTTAATTCAATAATCAAACTTTATTCAAGCATTCTGTCAATTGATTTCTGCTTCTTTCATATCTTACTCCTGCATGTCCTTGCAAACTTCAATCCTCCAATTATAGCCAACACTGGGCTTAAAGTGACACGTAAGACCACTTTAAGTTTTGTCACGTTTTGCGAAAGTGTTGAGGTCATGTTTATCTTTGGACAAAGCTTACACGACAATTGCAAGGCTACCCCTGATTAACTGATAATTATTTACAGCAGAAAGGTTGTAAAGTAAAAGATTAGGGTGGAAACTTCTCACTTAACCCATGAGGAGGAGTTACATTAGCAAAGATTTACAAGTTCTCACAAACATGCATCAGGTGCCAAATATTTTTATGGAAACTCCACTCTGTTCCTTACCCTTTGACCCATGAGTCTATTGATGAGCGTGGATTTGCCCGCATTGGGGGAGCCTATGATGGCTACCTTCAGGATGCGAGCGTCCGGCGGCTGATCAGGCTGCTGGAGTAACAGCATAGCTTGCTGAGCTGTCAAAAGCAATTTTAACAGAAAAGGTTTGGAGGTCACTGGAAAGGTTCCTTAGACGGTTAATGCCTGTTGCTATGCTCCCGAGTAACACCCAGATGGCCCAAATCAGTCCCCCCCAAAAAAGAAATGCAGTAGAATATAGGGTTGAGTCTGTCGAGGGGTGGAGGTGGTGCTGATGTGACATCTTTTTATGCAATACTGTCTTCTCCATAAATATACACATATTTTTCTGATCTGTGTAGTTTTACATAGACAGAGTAGCTCCCAAAAATCCAGGCCAAGAGTAAAAGGGCATGAGATCAATCACAATACACTCACTGGAATCATTGGCATTGTGATGCAAGGGCGGATGGGGTTGCCGGATGGAAATGGGGGAAATTAGGGGAAAGTGGGGAGGGGGAGAAAAAAAGGGAAAGAGAAAGAGGGGAGGGGATGAAAACTGAGTGAAACCAGCCCCCCCCCCACTATTTATGGTCTGCCAGTCTGCTACCGTTGAAAGCACCCCCCCAAAAAAAAAAATTGGAGGAAGGGCTATACTCAATTCCTGGCGGCACCCATGATATGCACACCTGTCAAGGCAGCAGCACTGTACATGTACCAGCTATTCCACAAACTGCCCAATGACAGTTATCCAGAATAACAGCCGACACCAATCCTTCCATCCATGGATGGATATCTCTCCCTCGACCATACAGTCGTGCCATTTCAGACAAGCCTATACATGTCATGATAGCATACCTCCGTGGAAGATTTCAAAATATTTCCATGGAGGGTGGTATGTCCCTGGTTAGCACAAAGATGACCAAGAAACGTTATGTCACTTCAGTCCGTGGGGAAATCAAAATCAATTCACAGTATGAAAGAGGTCTTCTACTCTTCTGATCAATGGGGGAGGCTTGCCTCCTCTCTTTCTGATTGAATGTGATTTGTCAAAAACTATCAGGGTATCAAAACAATCACAGACAGAAATGTTTCCCAAAGAGAGCACGGTTAAGTCTACCACACTGATTCTTGATACAATCTTGCAAAACACGAGCCTATTTCAAGGATGGATTTACGCCGGGGAGATGTAAATTAATTTGAGATTTTTGCCCTGCCGACGTGTATTTTAACACTGTATACTCAGTGTATGCCCCGAGCGCTCGTGAAAAATGTTAAACCATACGTCGGGCGGGGCAAAAGTCCAAAATAAATTTAAAAAAAAAACACGAGCCTGCCCAGCAAGGAGGGGCCAGAACTCAATATGGGGCTAACCATCACAGGAGCGAGTACATGTTCTTGCTCCCAAGACAGCTGAATTTGTCAGGTTATGGGAGCAAGTAGCTTCCATACGCCATGTGTGTTTCAGAAAATTGAACAACTTAAGGCCAAAGAAAATAATAGTTGTTTCCTATTACCATGATTACATTGAAAAAAATAGAATGGGGTAGGTGAGTGGTACCGTTTTTTTCTTCTTCTGGAGTTTCTGGGTAAACAAATTAAGGGTGGGGAATTGTTTTTTCACTAAAAAGTGATTTTGATGGTCTACAGTGTATTTGATCCATTCTTTTTCTACAGATTCGTAACTTGAGGATCGGTTTTTGTTAAAGATTGTATCCAGGTCAGAGTTGGTCTTGTGTGAGCCTGCTGTGCTGGCGCTCGGTGACATCATAAAAATTGTACTTACGTTGTGATTCCACAACAGGGGTGACCTGAAGTAAAAAAGTTCAGGTATTTTTCATGGCAAGAAAAGAAACCAGCGGGCATTAGTATTTGCACCTGTCTTTATAATTTAGGGGTGCATTTATGAGACAAGTGGGTGTTTTGTAGCTACCTGCGCCCGCAAATTTAGAGCCCTGGGGACTGACCTCTCTCGTGGCAAATTGGCATGCCCCTGGCTGCTTGCTGTAATTCGGAGTACTCTGCAGTTCTCGCTGTCCCTGTCATCGCTTGATTGTCTTCTTCTTCAGCCGTTGCTTCTTCTCCTATTGACTTATTCTGCTTATCAGCGATGCCATCTAAAGGAGCACTCACTGAAGACTGAGGCGTGACCCCTGAGGATATCAGCCTGATCGGTGATTTATGCTCTGTCGAATGAAGTGAAAGAATTTTAAACATGCCAACTTTTCTTTTTACATTTTTGGGGGCCGCTTAATTATCTGCTCATTGAACTTTATAAAGAACATTAATTAAACAATAGTGAACTTGGGATCGAGTGGGAAGTTATTGCCACACAACGAATTGCAAGTCAATACAGACACGACAAACACACATTGGCCATGACGGCTGATTCATTTGAAGTAAATACACATAATCCCCTCGTATATCTGCAGAGAATACCATGGTTTCATCATACATGTCCAGTTGCTTGAAACAAACATGACAAAGTCTAGAATGAGACCTAGGAGTTTATTGCTGTCTGATTTCCCAGACTGAACAGATCTCAATTGCATTTACAATGTATCAGGTCAGGCACCAACACGACCAAGGCTCGATCTACCAACACTTTGCCATCGCTTGATGGAGCAACAATGACGTCATTCTATTCTCACGAGATTTCAAAATTCTAAAAGGTCTGAATTCCGCCAAAAATACTTCGTAGATGGTCCGAAAAACCATCGTGGCTACGTAGTAATGTGGTATTATTTAGTGTGGATAGCTTTTGGGGATAAGATTTGATTGAAAAAGCGCAGGTTTTTAGACAGAGTAAATCCTGAACAGTAAGGCAGTACTCCGTAGGCCGTACTGATTCCTGATGTTTGAGGGTTCTGTACGCAATGGAATTTGAAAAGTGCTCTGAAGTCGTATCAGAGAAAACCTCCGTTGGGGCTTTCTTGATCAAATCTTCCCCTAAAAAGTCCATAATAATATTGTACACAACAGGTACTGTAACTTACATGAAACTACTGGGCACGTGTGTATTTTGCAGAGTGTAACCTACACTATTGGCAAAAAATGAGGTTTTTCCTACCATTTCCTGACCTATAAATCACGCAACGTCAGTAAGATAGGAGGCTCATTAATTTTCAGCTATTTTTTCTATTTTCTTTTTTGACTTGATCCTGGAGAGGATGTCATAAGAAACATTTTGTTATAGGTTTGGATTCAAAGCAAAGAAATACTGATTTAAAGAAGGGGTATTTTGAGATTTTGAGGGACATTTTTTGTACATGTGTAATGCAGTGCAAACTGATTTAAATGTACATGAAAATGAATGTTGATTTTGACTGAAAAGCTTAAAATCCATATTTTCATCAAATCTTTGTTCTCATTCGTGCCTTATTTCAATGAACAAAATATTGGCTTCACTTGAAATTTCAAAAAATTGAAATTGCGCACGAAGAAGAGGAGCAAGAACGTGCGGAAAAAGACAAATTTCAATCACAGTTTCCTATTTCAGAAAATGAGTTCCCAAATGAACAGCGCCCTCATTCATTTATGCATGTCCCAAAGTAAGGCTTGCGGAGTAGTGCCATTCTGTTCAGGAAGTTGAGTAAACGGGTGCATTCAGAATCCCATAGCGTTAGCCTACACTGCAATGAAAAGTTGCAACTACACTGTACTAGTACTGTACTTTTATTATTATTATTAATGGTTTATTAATATCACTTCATCGCTGCTCGAGGCAGAATTGTGAATTCGATTTACATGAAATAAAAAATTACATAAGTTACAAATCGTGTTTAAAAATGTCAAATAATATACGTATCAAAATAACATCATTCTATACACATCAAACAGTTAAGAAGCGCAGAAAAAAAATTAAATAGAAACCTGTACTCAGTGCACATACAAAATCAAACATGACTTTGACACACTGAAAAACCAAGCACCCCAGCCATCTATCAACCAGCCAACCGACAAACCAACCAACCAAATAACCAAACAACCAACAGACCGACAGACCAACCGACCGACCTACCAACAATCAACCAACCACCAAACCAACCAACCGACCAACACATCAGAACAACCTGATGCCGCACCCGCCAAAAAAAGAAGAATGTTGTCACTGTGGTAGATAAACTAATATGAACAAAAACTATTTCTTATTCAGAATCAAAGTTAAAAAAGGATTGAACTACACTTGTTACGGTTGGTCCTGCAACTACGTACACGGTTATGGAGTGCCTTACAATCAAATTCTGGGAGTGGAAGTAGGCCTAGGGCCTACATGTATACTGGGCTAGGTCATGTGACATGAGTCACAAGAACTCTACCAAAAAAATAAACTTACCTGCACAATCACTCAGTCCGCGAGACTTCACCTGTATATTAGATATGTGTTGAAATGGAACAGCCTTCTGCTGCCAGGGTCAAGTGATGTATAAAGTTCTACAGACTCATTTTATTTTAATGATGGCATGAGAGAGTGAGACTGTGAGATTGAATGGGTAAAGGCAAAAAGACTGGACAATACTAGCCCCACTAGTGTGGCATGGACTCTCACTCCCGATCCATCCTTAGCCACACATCCGTCTGCACAATTTTGTGTCGGCGTACTGAACATTTTTGGCACACCCACTTATCATCGTGGGCACAATTTCTTTTGCACACGAACATGATTCTTGACCTTTCCGCTTTCTAAAAATTATTTAGTGAATGATTTCACTCACATTATTGAGGTATTTTCCAGTCTTTTTGCCTTTATCCATTCAATCTAACGGGCTCTTTCTCACAGTCGCCATCTTTAAAATAAGGTCGTTGAACATTACGTCACTTGACCCCTCATCGCCTCAACGGCTGTTCCATGTCAAGACATCTAAACTGCTGCCAAAGTTTTGGAAGAGCCCATTGGTACATGTAGTATCTTATCACTCAGTCCATTTATTACATATGTCTTGACATGGACCGCTGTCGAGACGATAAGGGGTCAAGTGACATATTGTTCAACGATCTTATTTTAAAGATGGTGACTGAGAGAGCGAGTCCATTAGATTGAATGGATAAAGGCAAAAAGACTGGAAAATACCTGAATAACGTGAGTGAAATCATTCAATAAATGGTTTTTAGAAAGCGGAAAGGTCAAGAATCGTGTTCGTGTGCAAAAGAAATTGCGCCCACGATGATAAGTGGGTGCGCCAAAATGTTCAATACGCCGACACGAAATTGCGCAAACGGATGTGTGGCTAAGGATGGGTCGGGAGTGAGAGTCCGTGCCACACTGGTGGGGCTAGGACAATACCAGACATGCCAGAATAGCGTGAGTGAAATCATTCAATAAATGGTCATTAGAACCTGTAGAAGGCGGAGAGACTAAGGATTATTTGTGTGAGCAAAAAAAATTTGCACCTACAATTATAAGACGGTGCGCCGAAGATTTCACCACGCCGACACGAAATTGCGTATTCATACGGATGTGTGGGTAAGGTAAGGACGGAGCGGTATACGGTAGCGAGGGTCCGTGCCGCCAGTGGCATGGGGCTAACATTAACAGTAACAATGAGTGTGAAGCCAAGCCTACTTAATGTTGCAGAAATTTCACCTTATTATTTAAACAGCTTAAGGCATATCTTACCATTTGACAGCTTAAGACGTGAAGTAAATGATCTACGACAGGGAGCCGTACAAAGCTGTGAAAATTGTCTTAGCATGCAGAGCTTTTTAACAGCCATGGGGGCCGCCATATTGTTCGATGACGTATGTGTAGAGTTGGTCAAGTCTTTCACGAGGTTTGGCACAAATCAGTTCCATGACATAGAGGGCGCTATTTACGTAAGACAGGAACCCCCATGTTTCCGTAACTGCGAGAAAATGGTTCGTCTTCAAATAGGCCTACATTTTTTTGTAAGGTCACTTTCCCTGACAAAAATTCTAGCATTCGATTAAATGTACACGACTTATTTCCAGTGCTGTAGCCTGTAAAGTTTCTATAGGGTGGCGGCTGCATCCAGTTTGTTAAATAAGAGGCACGATCGAGATGTATCAACGAATATAGCAAAGTGTGCCGGAAGCTGTTGCTCCAGAGTATTATGTAGGGAGAGTAGCGCCAACTTCACGCTTTCGAACCAAAATGGCTGTTCATTACGTGATCATTA